AAAACCCGGGAGATAAAATAGCAAAAGAAAGTTGGCTGATGTGGAGGCACAAACTGAATGTCATAGATCAAGAAGACCTGGCACAAAAAATAAGAAGAACAAAACAATACTATTTTGAGAATGCCAACAAGTCGGGTAGATGGCTGCTTATAAATTAAAAAAGGAAAATGAAAAAGGGACAATTCATTGGTGGATGATCTCTGGAGGGCCCGGGATAGGGGTTGCTCCTCTATCCTGGTCCTGTTAGACCTCTCAGCGGCTTTTGATACCATCGACCATGGTATCATGTTGCACCGGTTGGCGGGGTTGCGGGTGGGAGGCACCGTTCTGTGGTGGTTCTCCTCCTACCTCTCTGACCGGTCGCAATCTGTGTTGACGGCAGCGGTCGACCCCGAGGCACCTTGCTTGTGGGGTGCCACAAGGATCGGTCCTCTCGCCCCTTCTGTTCAACATTTATGTAAAGCTGCTGGGTGAGATCATCCGTGGCTTCGGGGTGGAGTTCCATCAGTACGCTGATGACACCCAGCTGTACATCTCCACCCCAGGCCACCCCAATGATGCCCTTGAAGTGATGTCCCAGTGCCTGGAGGCCGTGCGGGCCTGGATGGGGAGAAACAGGCTCCGACTCAACCCCTCCAAGACCGAGTGGCTGTGGCTTCTGGCATCCCGATATAGCCAGCTGATGCCATCGCTGGCTATTGGGGGTGAATCACTCGCCCCCACGGAGAGGGCTCGTAACTTGGGCGTCCTCCTGGATGCACGGCTGTCTTTGGAAGATCATTTGACGGCCCTGGCCAGGGGGGCTTTCTATCAGGTTCGCCTGATACGCCAGTTGCGCCCCTTTCTAGATCGGGACTCCCTACGCACAGTCACTCAGGCACTCGTCACTTCCCGCCTGGACTACTGCAACGCTCTCTACATGGGGCTCCCCCTGGGGTGCACCCGGAGGCTCCAGCTGGTCCAGAACGCGGCCGCGCGGGGGATTATGGGGGCGACAAGGCGCTCCCATGTGACACCTCTCCTGCGCGAGCTGCACTGGCTCCCGGTGGTCTTCCGGGTGCTCTTCAAGGTGTTGGTGACCACCTTTAAAGCGCTCCATGGCTTAGGGCCGGGGTACTTACGAGACCGCCTTCTGCCACCAATAGCCTCCCACCGGCCAGTGTGCTCACACAGAGTGGGCCTCCTCAGGGTGCCGTCCGCCAGACAATGTCGGCTGGCGACCCCCAGGGGGAGAGCCTTCTCTGTGGTGGCGCCCACCCTCTGGAACAACCTCCCCCCAGAGTTACGAACAATAACAGACCTCCGGATTTTTCGTCGGGCCCTGAAAACCCATTTATTTCAACTAGCTGGGCTGGCTTGAGTCAAATTTTAAACTGATTTTAAATTGGAATTGTTTTAATTATGGCCAAAAGATTCAATTATTTTAATCAGTTTTTAGATTTTGTATGTTTTGTATGTATGTCTTGTTTTTATTTTGGCTGTTCACCGCCCTGAGTCCTATATTGGAGAAGGGCGGTATAGAAATTTAAACAAACAAACAAACAAACAAACAAATAAATAAATAAATAAATAAATAAATAAATATTTTAGAAGACTCTAAGGGTAATTTGTTAAACAAAGAAGAGGATAAATTGGAGATAGCTAGGGAATACTATGAAGTTCTTTATCAAGAAGAAGAGATCCCAGAAGAAAAAATAGAGAAATATTTGGCAAGTGAAGAGCTTCCACGGATAACAGAGGAAGAAAGGGAAATGCTCAATGGAAAGATAACAGTTGAAGAATTAAAAACAGCACTCTCTAAACTCAAAAACAACAAATCGCCAGGCCCGGATGGATTCCCAGGAGAAATATATAAAAATTTAGAAAAAAAAATTACAACCAAAATTGGTGGGAATTTACAATGAGGCATTGATGGGCTCCAAAATTCCAGATTCGTGGAGGGAAGCACATGTCACACTACTGCTGAAAGAAGGTGCCGATCTAAAACAAATTCAAAATTACAGACCAATTTCTCTCCTAAACACCGACTATAAATTATTCATGAGTATAATGGCTGAAAGAACCAAAAAAATATTGAACACTTGGATAAATAAGGATCAAAATGGATTCCTCCCGGGGAGGCAAATTAGGGATAATCTGAGAATTGTATTGGATATTTTAGAATATTATGAAGAATACCCAGGAAAGCAGATGGCCTTAGCTTTGTAGATGCCCAGAAGGCATTTGACAATTTAAATTGGAATTTTATGATTAAACAAATTAAGATAATGGGATTTGGAACAAATTTTGAAAAGATGATAAAAACTATTTACGACAACCAAAGGGCGAGCATTTTATTAAATGGAGATAGGACCAAAACATTCCAGATGAGGAAGGAGGTAAGACAAGGATGCCCCCATCACCATTATTATTTTGGCCTTAGAAGTTCTGCTACGGAGAATCAGAAACAACGAGGAAATTAAAGGGTTAACAATCAAGAAAGAGGTATATAAAACGCAAGCATTTGCGGATGATGTGGCCTTGATTTTGGAAGACCCATTAGAATCCGGACAAAAAATTTTAGAGGAATTGGGCAAATACGGGGAAGTAACAGGATTCAAATTGAACAAAACCAAAATATTAACTAAGAATGTAACTGAGGTACAGAAGAAAGAGAAGAAAAATTGGGTTTACAGGTTGTTAAAAAAATAAAGTATCTAGGAATCTGGATAACCTCAAGGTGTTCTTCCCTAAAGGAAGATAATTATACCCCCTTAACTAAGAAAATAAAACAAGATCTGGACAAATGGAAGAAAATACAATTGTCGCTCCTAGGTAAAATAGCTCCGATTAAGATGAACATCCTCCCAAAACTACTATATTTGTATCAAACTATACCTGTAAATTTGGATAAGAATTTTTTTTTCAGAACTTAACAAAAATATTAGGAAATTTGTAGGGGGGAGGGAAACCAAGGATCTCATTTAAAATCTTACAAGGGAAAAGGAATTTAGGAGAATTTGGACTCCCTGATTTGGAAAAATACTACAGGGCAACCAAATTAGTATGGATAAGGGAGTCCATACTCCCTTCCATACTCTGGAAAATAAAAGGATTCTAACTCTGGAATGTCACGACTTACAGAGAGGGTGGCACACATACCTATGGGACACAGAGAAGAAAAAGAAAACATACTTTCATAGGCATAAAATTAGGAATACTTTAATACAAACATGGACTGCAATTAGACAGCGATATTATACAAAAGTCCCAAAATGGCTCTCCACGATGGAGGCCTTGATTTATCCCAATAGATGGGGGATGGAGAAAATGTGTAGATATAAAGACATCCTAGATGGAGGAGGAAATCTTAAATCCTACGAGGCCTTGAGAGATCAAGGTATCAATTTAGACTGGTGGACTTATTTACAAATAAAGTCTAAATACCAGAAAGATAAGGAGGAATGCGGCTTGAAACTAGGATCTAATGGGTTTGATAAGGTTTTGATGGGAACAGAAAAAAAGATACTGGCCAAATTATACAACTACCTATTAGATGAGGATAGAACAGAGGATACAATTAAAAACCAATTGGGAGCATGGGAGAAGAATATTGGACATAGCATAAATTTCAACGAGTGGGAAGAGGCACGGAATAAGAATTATAAATTAACCAGAGCAGTGACTTATAAGGAAAACCAGTATAAAATGCTACACAGGTGGTATTTAGCCCCTGCTAGGCTAAGCAAAGATGTATCCAAATATACAGTCAAATTGTTGGAAATGCGGTCACGGTCAGGGCACCTTTCATATGTGGTGGACATGCCCCGATGCGAAAAGACATTGGAACAAGATTTGGAGATGGTTACAAGAAATAATTGGAGAAGATATTGAATTGACACCTGAAATATTTCTCCTGGGAATAGTAAAGAGGAATTATGGAAAGAAAAAGATCCACCTAATAATACATATCACTACAGCTGCTAGACTGGCATATGCACAACACTGGAAAGAGAAAGATCTGCCAACAGAAGAACACATAATTAGGAAAGTATTGGAGTGCGCAGAGATGAGCTAGCTAACCCATGAAATAAATGAGGATGAAAATTTAGATTACTATACTGTTTGGGGAAGGTCGTAAGAATGGATGAATGATAAGATAAAAGAAGGAGAAAAAGGTGTGCCTAATAAAAGGAATAAGTAGCTTAAGAAACACCGGGTATATTGCTTGTATATATGTATAAACACTGCACATCCGATGTAAATAGAAATGATATTTAATGTATTTTCATAAACTTAATAAAATATTGGGGGGAAAAAGATTCTCTCAGACATCAAGCTGCAAAATGCCACATTTTGGAAAGACATTTCTTCAGGCATTTTACTTTTGCTTTTACCTTTACCTTATCTTACTTTACTTTACTTCTGTTGGTTATGTTTGATAATGATATGACAGATAATGATTTTGACCCTGAGCATTGTACCAATTTCTGCTAGCATGGTGCTAGCGGGCACCTACACATTTCCTCTCTCTTTTTCTTGTCCCGTCCCACCCCACTCCTTATCCCACCTGTATGTAATACAAATGCACACTTTTTTCCCCTTTGAAAAGAAAGGAGCGACGAGGGATAAATTAGCTTACTTTCATTACTGAATTGAAAAAGTTCTTATTTTTTTAATTCACTACCAATGATTTTTCAATGGTTATGTTTATGCTATAGCCATAATTATAATGAATGCTTTCAGTGAAAATAACATGTGCTAATAATGCCATTGTATTATTTTGTACCTGAAAAAGAAACTGTGAAGGAGTAAAATTTTAAATATCATAAACTCTTGGTTGATATAAAAATTTGTTGATATAAAAATCTGAAATACAAGCATAGAAAAGAAAAATAGTTTATACTTACAAATATTGGAATGTGCCAGGAGGAAGATTAATTTTTCCCAGGGTGATCTATTTTTTTAGAAAAATAGAATTTCAGTTTGAGACTAAACACGCTGTTTTTCTTCTTTTCTAGGTTCTGTATTTTGAAACTGCTTACACAGAAGAAAGGTACAACACAGTGTCCACTTTGCAATGGCAAAGTCACTAAAAGGTAAATCCCTTCAGCACAAAATATATTCCACTAGTTAGGAGACCAATAGATAAAATGCTGAACTGAGTATGGCCAATCTCAGAAAGACTAGAGTACTCACTTTGCAACTGCTAACACCGATCTGTGCAATGATGTAAAAGGGTTGCAAATATTTAAAGCTTGCAGAAAAACTTGCAATGGTTTATTGATAGCAGCTCCATCTAACATTTGTTGGCTTGTTTCAGAAGTCTGAGGGACGATATCTATCTTAAGGAAGTAATCAAAGGAATTCTAGAAACCATCCATGCTTTTGAGTGTGATACTGGACTGAAGTGTAGGTATTGTGCCTTACCATAAACTTCATAGAAAGTTTTTTACTAACTTTTTTGTGATGCTGAATTACACAACTGATCTTTCTGTTTTAAAGTTTGATTTCCACTTGTTGATTTAAAATTCTAAATTATACTATCTATAACGTTTGCATCTTCTTCAGCCCTTGCTTCAGTCTCTGAAACAGGTAATATCTAATGCTACTCTGATTTTTGGGGCTACTGATCCTTCAAACTCTTGCTATCAACTATTCTGGCTGTATCGATGAATGCTGAAATCTGAAGTATCTGAAGACCGTTAGGTCAGCCTACTCATGCTCTAATATATTTAGTAGTAGTAGTATCAGAAGTGCAGCTTCCATATATCTGGTTCAAAGACCATAATTGAATTTGTTGTTTTGAAGCTCTGGCACTTTCTTTTTGTTCATTTTCCTTTTCTTTTTTTGGTTGATTAAGATCCAAGTTTGGATGATGTCTAAAGACACAATCCAATTGGTAGAAGCATTTCGCAACTAAGAATGAGTATGTCTTTTAGGTTTTATATTTTAGAATTATATTTATTAAAAGTATTGCTATGATAAAAAATAGCTTGTATTCTGCAAATGTAGATCCATGTTCTTTGCCAATGCTAAAAGCCTCCCTCCCAAATTTAAATCAGAAGAATCACCAGAATGTTTGTATTGTACCGTTCCATGTGCATTTTGGTTTTAAGTACACCAGAGCACAATGGTAGAAAATCAATGATTTTAAAATAAAAAAACCTAAACACAATTCAGTCATCTAGTATAAAATGCCTGGCAAATAAACTGCTTTGACTTAGTACTATAATTTTAATACCAATGGGATCTCAATGAGGAGATAGTCGATAGTTATGAATCTTTATTATATAAAGGAACTACTAAAGGAAGCAAAATCTGGCGTTTATTGTTGTCTCTTCTCTCATCCCAGCTGCATATGAGAGGTTGCATTAAGCGGGTATCTCACATACAACAGCTGCCTCATCAAGGTTATCTCATCTGTAGAGGCCACTTTTGCCCCCCATCAATAGTTGAACATCTTGACAGCAGCCTATCTTGTTCAGCTATAAAAGTATGTGACAAAGTGGCCCTAATCTGGCAAAGAAGAGAGGCCTAGGACAGTTTAATTTACCTCTCCACTGTTCATTAGTCATCTTGCTTAAGCCTCAGGTTTAATGCTAAGGATTCTTGTGATAGCTGTTCTGAGGGCTTTCAACACACACACAGACACACACACACACACAGAGAGAGAGAGAGAGAGAGAGAGAGAGAGAGAGAGAGAGAGGGAGGGAGGGAGGGAGGAACATCTCAAAACTTCATGCTCAGCATAACAAGTAAGTAGCTGATTCAATGTACCATTGTCCAATGCATATGACAGATGATACTACTGACATGGTTTTCTTAAGTGAAAAAGAATTGGGTGATATGAAAATAGGACATTCCTTTGCCATGGTTAGATTATTTTCTGCTGAAGATTTTTTTTTTCTGTTTTTGAGTCGGACTGGACTTTTGACGACCACATGGACAAGTCTACCTTTCTCGACAACATTTTTCTGGAATGGTTTGCCTTCCTCCTAGGACTTAAAGAGGGTGATTTAATCCAAAATCATTCAGCTGGCTTTATACCTAAGACAGAACTACTCCAAACTTGTTAAAAATGTCTAAATTTTAATTCTAAAATTAAAAATGAATGAATTCTATCTAGAGGATTTTCCAGTTGGTATGACAGGAATACCTGTCAATGGCTTGGTCAACCCACTTGTTCTCTCCCTTTTTAACAAACTTGTATAGTTCAGAGCTGTGGTCTAAGAAGCAAGTGAGATGAAACTAGACTGTAGATAGAGGAATATTCTTACCAAGTGAGACCAGACATAAGAGCTTACACATTGGAAGGGAAAATAATGAAGACTTGTCCCAAAGTGCTTTTTTCAGGAGGCGACTGGTCTTTCTTGTTTCTTGGTTGTTGTTTTTTTAAGATGTTTCGCTTCTCATCCAAGAAGCTTCTTCAGCTCTGACAGTATAGTGGGGAATGGAAGGATCTATATGCCTTGCAGACAGCTAGTAATTTGCATCCTTATAGAGCAGTGGTTCTCAACCTGTGGGTCGTGACCCCTTTGGAGGTCGAATGACCCTTTCACAGGGGTCGCCTAAGACCATAGGAAAACACATATTTTCAATGGTTTTAAGAATAATTTTATGGTTGGGGGTCACCACAACATGAGGAACTGTATTAAAGGATCACGGCATTAGGAAGGTTGAGAACCACTGTTATAAAGGGTCATTGAAGCACTTGTAGGTTTATCTGTGTCCTCAGGGTCACCTGAATAGTGCTCCTGGTTTCTGTAGTCTGCAATTTTTCCTCTGTTGTGGGAGTAGGAATCCATTCCTACTCCCACAACATTCAAAGGGTGTTCATTCCAAATTGTATAACTAAAAATCTGTAGAGATTCTCAGTCATCCAGGTCATGGTTGTCCCAAAGGTACTTTTTTCAGGAGGCAACTGGACTTTTGAAAGGTAGTTGTCCCACCTTTGGGACAACCGTGACCTGGATGACTGAGAATCTCTATAGAATAATGAAGACTTGCTTTTCTATCTTCATTCCATTTAATATGTAAAAGATAATCTGCCTCGGCCCAGAAGGTTCCAGGATCATTAAAAGTAGCTATTATCAGTCAACTCTTAAGAAATTTAGCCTGCATGTAGACAATATAAACGTTTATCGACTGGCTACTTCTATTTCCATGCTGGACATGATTAATAATTGCATGAGACATTGCATAGAGTTTCTGATATAAAGCTTTTTCCACGGCTATTTATATGTGGCTTCAGGCTTAGTTTTGTATTAAATTGATGAGACAATTCGCCCCATGATTATTTGGGATGTCTCAGTAACTTTTGTTTATAATAGCCCTTCGGTTAAAAACTGGAGAAACTACATCACATTGGGTCTGCTGCTGCTTGGAATTCTGATATAAAATTTGCTTTGCTTCTATAAAATTGTATTTAATAGATTGCATAAATCAAAGTCCTTTAAAAATCATCCCATAAACTGTAAAATCTTTACCTATGACAACTATTACGTTTCAAGGTGACACTCTATTTCTCTCAGTTTCAGATTATTTGTGTTACCCCAGGAAAGTGTTAGAAACTGTTTCTGCTTCATCCACATATAAAGAACAACTGGTTATTAACTGTAAGGGATATAGAGATAGATCGAAATATATGAAGAAAGAAGAAAAGAGAAATACTAAATCGGTAATAACATTTTTCCTTTCTTTTCCCTACATATTGACCTGTAACATTTCCCTCCCAATTGTTAACTTATTGGTTCACTTTTATTTTTATTTGAGAAGTTATCGCTTGAATTGAACAGGCTGAGAAAGTGCAAAAATGCCTCCTTTTGCAATAGATTCATTTCAGAAGTTTCTGAAAGAAAAGCTGTGCTTCTTGCTTTGAAATGTATTTAATTGTGATTTAAATTATTGCTGTAAGGACTCTGTAAATCAGGAAAGCTGCAATAAAGAATTACAATAAGAGACTGTAGAATAAATATCGGACAAATAGCCTTGGTCATAAAAAAATCAATTTGTTTCCCTGATTCTTGTTTTTCCCTTTGGGAATATTCATCCCACTGATGGTATACTATGGGCCAGTTATCTGTCACAGCTTCTTCTCCGGGTTTCACTGCCTGCTAACAATTGTTGGAAACAAAGTGTTTTTCTGAGTGAAGATTTAAATTCTTATGGATATCCATATTGGCAGTTGCAAAAGCAAGGAAAGGAGAGGTGGCAAATTTAGCATGGCTCCAGGCAAAAGCATCAGGAACTGCATGTGTGTGGGTGCATTGACCCCCATATGTTACTTGCTGATTCTTTTTCCTTCATCTCAGGCTAATTTACATTTTGGGTCAAAATCTGTTTCCCATTTTTGCTATAATGTTTAAAGGGGAAGAATAATCCCGCTCTAATCAGAAATGGTTTTAAAATATTTTTCTAATGCAATTTGAGTTACATTTAGATAAATATAATAACTTTCTTTGGAGTGCAGATTAAAGCTGGTTTGTGTATAAGAATTTTCATTCAAGTATTTTCAATTTGCATTAAAAAATGTTCTATTGCTATAATTATTTAATTTAACAAGTGAATTCAGTGTAGCTTTAAATAAATTTAAATAAATACCCTATACTCACTCTCTACAACAGGGGTGTCAAACTCAAGGCCGAATCTGGGGTGCTTAGATCTGGCCTGTGGGGCTGGCCTGGAAGCAGCAAAGGACCGGCCTGCGGTGCCTCTGCCAGCAAAAATGGAGGTCTGGGAGGGCTCTGTTTTCGCTGGCAGAGGGCTATCAGAACAAACTAAAAACAAAACAAAAGGAGAAACGTTTCCCCTTTTGCATTTGAGTATGCAAGAAGGGACAGGAAAGGAGAAAGAGAAAAAGGAAAGACAAAGAAAAAGATGGGAAGAGAGCAAGGAAGGAAAAATAAGGAAAGAGGGGAAGGAAGAAGAAAAGAGAATGAAGATGGAAGGAAAAATAAGAGAAGGAAGGAGATTATAATGAGTGTGAGTGAGGATCTCGGGGACGTCCTGCCTTAGCACTTGCCCAGCACAGGTGCCCCCGACACAAGTGATGTCGAGCTGGCCATGCCCATATCCATTCCTCCAAGATCAAACACAACCCTGATCTGGCCCTCAATGAAATTGAGTTTGACACCCCTGCTCTACAAAATACAAGTCTTGGCCCTAAATATTTCAGCCTTTCCTCCCCGAATGGCAACCCTGACATGGTTCAACAGACAACTAATGGTTTCCTTTGCTTACCTTCCAGATGCCATCTCCATTGTAGAGGGAGCTGCTTGTCAAACCCCAAAATGACAAGCCTCTGGCAAGCTGTCTCAGGGTTGCCATTCGGGGAAGGGAGCAGTGGTGGGATTCAAGTAATTTAACAACCGGTTCTCTGCCCTAATGATTTCTTCCAACAACCAATTTACCAAACTGCTCATAAAGTTAAGAACCGGTTCTCCCGAAGTGGTGCGAACTAACTGAATCCCACCACTGGAAGGAAGACTGCAGGGGCATGACTGGAAGTTGCTCTGATCAGCTGGAAGGTGGCAAATGGAGCGGCTGCGCTGATCAGCTGGGAAGCAGCAAATGGAGTTGCCGTGCTGATCAGCTGGGAGGCCAATGGCAAATAGATCAGTTAGGCAAGGGGTACTGGGTGGAGGCTGCGACACTGATCCATATGTGGAGAAGCAGCTGGGCGTCGGAGTTGATTGGCTGGGAAGCAAAGTGCCGATCAGCTGCAGCACTGAGAGCAGGCCAGCAGCTGAGTGTTGGCCTAGACGTGGCTGAAGATTCCAGGCTGTTTGCGGTGTCCAGAAACCAAGGGGATGGGGTAGGTGAATGTAAGGGGATTTAAGATGTGGCAGAAAGGCCGTGAGTAATGTTGACTTTGTTTGTATATCACTCAGTGCTGGGTTTCCAAGCTTTCCAGGTTAAAATGCTTCAAACAAAAACTGTTGCTTATGGTTTCTTGGTGCTGGATACACGGAACATGACAACTGTGTTCTACACCTAAGGACTATATACATACAGTATATATTGATGCTAAGCTAAGAAATACTTTGTTATCTTATACCAACCATCTTTCAGTGGTAACCAGTATCAAAAGGTTATGTAGGAAATGGCTAGGCTAAATGGCTAGCTAACACTATTTTTAGTGCTTTACTATTTTATGTTTTTGAAATGTTTTTAAATGCCTTATATTAAAGTCATAGCTAATGAACTGTGATTATTAGAGATACTGTAAATACAATTAATGATTAATTAAATCTATTAAAGTTGGAATGCTGCTCTGTGACTATAATAGAGATAGATTAAAGTTGAGGAACTATTGCAGAAATTAAAGGAGATGAAAGGATTCTACTTCCCTCTAAAATGTCTGACAAGACCATTTAAGTAACATTTGGTTGTGGCTCTTTAGATGCTAAAATCTATCTGGAAAGAAAATAGGCAACAAATACATGGTGCTATATCACTATTATCTAGTCACTTCAAACTACAGCACCTCATCAGTGGTGGGTTGCTACCAGTTCGCCCTGGATTGGCTGAACTGGTAGTGGCGGCGGCGGGAGGCTCCGCCCACCTGCCCAGACGCTTCTGTGCATGCGCAGAAGTGTTGCACACACGAGCGAACCAGTAGCAATCTAAATTGAAACCCACTACTGCTTCTCATATTTGATGTTTTTCCCTCCCTCTAGGTCAAACTATTTGCATGTGACACTTCTCTTCATTTTGCCACAGAAAAATTGAGACGTTCTGCAAATACTAAATACACATATTTTTAAAACTTCTATAGTAAAATTGGGCAATGTAGGATCTTAAAGGAACAATATTTTAATAATATTATTCTTTAATAATGTTTTGTTTTCTTGGCAGGGTGATAACCCAATCTCGCCACAGTACAATGAAAATGAAGCAAGATATTTCCTCAGAAACAAAAGAAATTCTTGTAAAACTATGGTTTTGGAAATCAATAAGAAGCACAGTAAGTAGTGGTAGTAAAGGTAGTCCTCATTAGTTCACTTAGTGACCATTCAAAGTTATAATGGCACTGAAAAAAGTGACTTATGACCATTGCACATCCCCATAGTCGTGTGATTTACATCCGGATGTTTAAGAACCGACTCATGATCTTTTCCAACCTTCTGACATGCAAAGTCAATGGGGAGATCAGATTCACTTAACTGTGTTATTAATTTAACAACTGCAATGGTTCACCTAACAAATGTGTCAAGAAAAGTCATAAATTGAGGCAAAACTCAATTAACAAATTTCTAACTTAGCAACATAAATTTTGTGCTCAGTTGTGGTCATAAATTGAGGACTGCCTGTAAAAGTGCTTTTATACTGTGTAGGTTAATTTTAAGGCACCGTAGCCTTTGATCCTCTTAAATCTTCCTGTTTATTTCCTTCTTTTCTAGTATTTTTCTAATAGTATTATGATGCAATTAATAATGCTAATAAGAACATTATTAGCTTTCCACCTGGCCAAAGCTACTGGAAAGATAAAGTTTGTGAGAGAGCAGGCTGCTCAGAATAATAGCCAGCACCTGTGCTGCTTTCTGTCCTGTCTCTTTTAAGCCTTTCCCCAGCTTGCACAGCGCAATTAGCTACAGAAGCTTTGATAAGAAACAGCTGCCTGTGGTGATAGGGCCTGTGAGGAAGAGAAGTCCATGCGAATTGTTTGTGTGAGGTGTCTAGGGAGCTATGTGGTTGTTGACTCTTGTGTTTGGATCCCATTATATTAGTATGGTTTAAAAAAAAAATCCATGACACATGTCCCAGAGGTGTTTTTCCAAAAGGCAACTGGATTTCCTTAGGTTTTTTTTTCCCCCTTGAAATGTTTTGCTTCTCCTCCAAGAAGCTTCTTGAATGAGTGATGGGAATGGAAGGATTTATGGAAGGATCTGAGTGCAAAGGATATAAATCCTTCCATTTTTCACCATTCAATCAGAACTAAAGAAATTTCTTGGATGAGAAGAGAAACATTTTCAAGGGGAAAAAAACAAAGTCTAGTTGTCTTTTGGAAAAGCATCTTTGGGACAACCATGATGGGAATGATTGAGAATCTCCAATAGACAACCCATAACATAGCTGAACTGGGATTTATAAGTCTTTGTTACATTCAGGTCCAGTATGAGAGCCATTACAGGCACCTGTTCTCTTGCTGTCTCTCTTACTCTATTATAAGGGTCTGTTACCTCTTCTATTTGCCTATCCCTTAATTTACTCTGTGAAGTTGTCTGATTTCCCTACTCCAGCATTACCACCAACTGTTCCACGCATATATTGGGATTTCAACTCCTATGATCATTGGAATTACAGGAGATATGGTCCCAAATCAGTTCAAGAACAAGTTGAGGATAGTTGCTATAGTCCATATCCTATCAACATTGACTTTTTCTCTTCCCTATTCCAGGTGCACTGTTCACCTGGAATAGCTTTGATAGTCCAGCAGATAGCTTTGATTTAAATGTTTTTGATAATTTCTTATTTGGTTAACTTGGATTTAAAGAGATATTTGCTGGAAAACATTGACCTGAAATAGAATATTTGACAAAATATTAGCCTAGTTAAAAAGGAATTTTTAACAAAAAACAAAACAAAACACCATTAGCCTTTGAAAAAAGTGGCTGTGATCCTGCTTTATTTAAGTGATAACACTGGTATTTGAATCCTCTTTGTGTAAAATTTGCTAATTGCAAACTTTCTTCATCTAAGGATCAGGCTCATCTGAAGATATCTTTCAGGAAGAGAACATAATCAGCTGGTAAGTTAATGTTCACTGGAGTTGTTTCATTTGCATATTTTGGGATGTCAGAAATGTTATTAAATACTAGATACGGTGCCTATTAAGGAGATATCATATTCTTTGTATCATGAAAAGACAATTTCTGAAGAAGAGGCAATGGCTTTTTCTGTGACAAGAACTTCTGAGAACATGTATTTTTCCCACTTTGCCTATCTAGGAATTTTATAAACATGTGGAAAAAGACATAACAATGTGATCATATTGCTTAGGAGGTTTGCTTGAACATAAAGGACATTGACTGCTGATCCCACTGGGTAATATTGTATTAATGCTAAGCTTGACTAAATGTGGACACAATTTACTAGTTCAGCATTTATCTATATTTTCTAAACATGCCAAAGTAATTTGGATATTATTGGCAAAGTCCAGACAATAAGCTCCAGTTATTTAGGAGATGTCATTTACTTTTTACTTTTTCACTTGTGATCTTTCTAAAACAACATGAAAGAATGAGAATATGATTAAATACTATACAGTAGAAAGATACAAAGAGTCTATTCATTTTTCTGTAGGAGGAAATTCCCAGAGAGGCAGGCTGATAGAACTTCCAGCCCAATAAGGGCTGATGGGAGGTCCTCTTTTCCTAGTCACAAAATAGGGAAGTGCATCAATATCCTACCTGTTATTGTTTAGGTTTTTTTTTTTTTACATAGGATTCATGGTTGAGTATAACTTAATGAACTTTTCAGACCTTTAATTTTCTAGAATTTTTGTTCATTTTCTACAGCATGGATTTTGAAAGTCCTTCCACATCTCAAGTTGACAAAGACTATATTGTGAATCGGAGCCAAAACTCTTGCCACATAGAGCATCCTGAAACAAGTGCCAAAAATGAACCATCTCTAAATATAGGTGAGAGTGTTTCCCCATAGATGGTAATGGTTATTGGTGGGATACTAAATACAGGAGTCCAAGTAATACACAATAGTTAGCTGAGTTCCATTTTTATAGGTGGCCATTTTTTATGATATGCAAAAGCAGTATGCGGGGGATTGACCTTGGGCATGCAAATCAGTTTATTCCTGACATTGCCAAGCAAACATACTCCCTTCTTAACTCCATGTATCACAGATTAGTCAAGAATTGTTGTCCTGGGATAATGCATATGGAATCACAGTGTTTCTGTTAATCTGTGTATTGACAAATTTAGAATTTGCAAGACAGATGCCAAAGAAGAACAAGAGATGCCAGAGCTTTAGTTTAGCATTAAAAAGATTTAAGAAATTGCCCTTTAATAATGACAACGTTAGGAGGATACAATCCCAATCAGCTGGGTGAACTCTTAATGGTAAAGAAAGTTCACGTTATGGAATTTGACTCAAAAGAAAACTGAAAAAAGACATTTTTTTAAAAATTTTTATTTGATTTATATGCCGCCCTTCTCCGGAGACTCAGGGCGGCTTACAATGCGTTAAGCAATAATAACATAAATCTCATAGTCCTTTTTCCCCATTTCTCACCTTTTTGAAAACTTCACCTTTGTGCGTGCGCATGCCATCCATGCTAATGCACGGCTCCTCCCCATGTGCTTCACAGACAAACGCACATCTGTGCATGCACACAGCTTTTGCATGTGTGCCCCACCAAGTGCTGCGCACTCAATTGTACCATATGTGCATATGTGTGTTTTTTGCATGCACGCAAACGCTGTCTGCATGTGCTATGCACCAGTACTTGTGCGCATGCACAAATGTGCGCATGTGCAAAGGAAGACCAGCTGCATCCCCTGAATTGCGTGCAAGCCAACCGGGGGCCTGAACACCAGCTGGGGCGCGCGCGCATGCACAGCTGCAGGTGAGTTGGGCGACAGCTCGCATGCCTGGAAAAATGGTTCTGTGTACCACTTCCGGCACGCCTGCCATAGGTTCACCATCACGGCCCTAGCAGATTTGGAATTGGCTTGCTATAAGATTCTTAGTTACTCAATTGAAACTATGGTTAAGTCTGTCCTTGTGCTGTGAAATTAATCATATTTTCTAAATACCAGAATAGCTACTTTTTACACTGTATGTTGTAGATCAGGGTTCCCCAAACTCTGGGCTGTGGGCCATTCAGAACCAGGCTGCAGAAACTCCATTTGTGCAATTGGTAGGTGCGTGTGTGCCTACTGCTTGTACAAATGGAGTTGCATGCCTGCCACTCGTGAGGAACCATCCCCTCTTCCCTCCCGGTCTGCAAAGCTGGAAAGGTTGGGGACCGCTGTTCTACATGACTCATGGCATCATCTTGGTACACAAATTTTAAGAAGAGATTGGATAATTAAGAAGAGATTGGATAACCACTTGTCTGAAGGGATGTAGGATTTCCTGCCTAAGCAGAGGGTTGGACTAGAAGACCTCCAAGGTTCCTTCCAACTCTGTTATTCTATATTCTAAATCAACCAAAGCCATCCAAAACATCCCAAGTAAACCAAAAGACCAAGCAGTCCCAGAAGAAAAAAACAGGAGTCAAACTCCTTAATTTCACAACACATGAACAGACTTAACCATATGAAACTGAGAACCCTAGACCAAGTAAACTCCAAAACTGCTAGAGAATTCCTGGAACCTGGCATTTAGATAAATTGGCCATCAATAGGCACATAGTGATAAACAACTTCTACTTTTCATCCAAAAGAGACAATCAAAAGCCAAAAAGGAAACAAAAAGACCAAAACAGTTCCTTACCAGCAAGCAAGCAATAACCATGTGAGCAAAGAATATCATTACACCAACTACTTAGCACTGATGATGTTATCTACTTTGGTAATAAAACATCTGCCAGAAAACAATCAAGTTCAAAGAGCATTAAAGACCTTATAGGTCAACCTTGAGCTACAAATATTACCTTCTATTGGGGTCATCCCATGTCAAGTGGTCGGGGGGGTCCCTGCTTGATGGATTTCGATGAAATTTTGTGTGAACATGCACACATGTTCCCAATGAACATTGGTAAAGTGCTACGTGTGCCGATGCAATACTTGCGGAGATATAGTCATTTGTGTGACCCCATACCGCAGCCTTTACAGTATGACTCTGAGGTTCCAGCAACTTTGAGATATATCTCTGGTAATATTTTGTTGAGAGAAACAAAACTTGGCCATCTTGTACAATGTTTTGTGCTCTATTAAACAAAATAATAAAATCATTTTCATGAACGATCTCCATCTAGATAATTTGGAGCAAAGTTGGCCAAAAATATTGCGGCTCGAAAAAAAGGTTAAAGTTTGGCTTTTTATATCTCTGGCAGGAAAATTATGAGAAACGTGAAACTTTGTGCATAATAACTTAGCAACACAAGGTTTTCAAATATAAAATTTCATTCTGCTGCTGCTTTTCAATAATTTACAAATTGAGTATAAAGTTGGCATTTTTTGTAAAAATGCCCAAAATAGGATATTTTCAGCCCGTTTTTATAAAAACAGACCTTCTGGAAACACTATTAACTCATTCTCATTAGAAAGAGCATGTTTCAAACCCCCTAAAAAAGTAGGGTTAGTTTTTCATTGCTGATGTATAAAGCCCTAAAAATAGGGACAAAGTTAAGGACGTTGCTATGGCAATGTCACATGCATTCTGTTATTGTTTCGTCTTGTTTGTTTTATATAGACGTCATTGCTACTACTATATTGCATTGGTCCATGATGACATTGTCACTACCAGTTGAGGCACTTGAACCAGCAATCCCATCGCCAAAGGGGGCACACCTGATAGCCATGTAATACTAACCATGGATGGGTTTCTTGGTTCAGGATCCCAAGCCTGTAGTTTGGTTTCTTCCTCAAGCTTCCAAAATCTTGTGTGGATATCTGTCCTGTTTCCAAGCTGACAATTGGGCAGCTTATCCTAGGTTCCCAAACCTAAAGTGGGTATCTTATATGGTTTCCAAGTTGAAGTCCGTATTGTTTGTATGAACTGCCAAATTCCAACAATCGCTTATTTATTATTGAATGTATGTGCTACGTTCTTTAGCGTCACTTCTGGGAATTGATACTGTCGACCTGACGATGTAACTGAAGGCGCTGGAAGCATGCAAATAAGATGTGGTTCTGGAACCCAACAAACATCTTGTCTTTCAGGCCAATAAAATAAATGAGCACAGCCTCGTGGATGCATAAATGTTACCAACGCATCATTTTGTTCAGTCGAAATTTCCACGATGTTGTCTACCCACCATTTTTTGTCATAAGTGCAGGCGACGTAACAACCAGGAGATATGTTGGCCAATTTTAAATTTGGATCGACGGTGTTGGACATTTTGGCCACAAAGTTAATCATGTAATTTGAAACTTCGCTGACAGAAATCGAATTTGAATCAACTGGCACAAACTGGTGATGATCTCTTGTGCCAGCTATTATGCTGCTAACTTTCCATCTTTATTCTTGCAGCATCCTGCTTTCTTCGATTTCTCTCTTCGGAACGTAGATATATTTAATTCCATGAATGTTTCACCATGTGATTTTGTTTCACCAAATCACCATGCGACGGAGTTGGCGGCACGACTAAATGTTTGGCTGCTCCAGCCAGCCTCCAGTGAGCATCAACCAACTAAATACTGACGTCGACAGGTCTGTTCAACTTTTGCGACAGAAACATTCATGGAATTAAATATATATACATTCCGAAGGAAGAAATCGAAGAAAGCAGCCTTTTTTTTTGAGCCGCAATATTTTTGGCCAACTTTGCTCCAAATTATCTAGATGGAGATTGCTCATGAGAATGTTTTTATTATTTTGTTTAATAGAGCACAAAACATACAAGATGGCCAAGTTTTATTTCTCTCAACAAAATATTGCCAGAGGTATTATGTCTCAAAGTTGCTGGAACCTCAGAGTCATACTGTAGAAGGCTGCGGTATGGGGTCACACAAATGACTATCTCCGCAAGTATTGCATCAGCACACCTAGCACTTTACCAATGTTCATTGAGGACGTGTGTAAATTCTCACAAAATTTCATCAAAATCCATGATGGTCGAGCGGGGCAATTTTCTGAAATCAGACCACTTGACATAGAATGATCCATTGGTATGAATGGTGTTTTTGGAATGAGACAGACCAAGTATTGTTTATCACATAATAATGAATCAAGTAGCAGGGAAGGATAAGATGAATGTGAGTGATAAATGGATTACATAAGCTGCCTCTAATTTGTTGACATCTTACTATTTTTCTTTTTTAGGTATATGTGGAGCCTTAGAAGAAAGAAAACTAGGAAGCCGAGATGATACCAAAGCTGTCAATGAAAACTTAGAAGTTGTTGAGGGAAACGTGACTGTCAAACAGCAACAGGATGTATTTTTTCTCGATTCCTGCATGGAACAACCTGGTTTTAGTTACCTACAGGATGATAGGTCTTCCTCTTTCTGCAGGATAACACAAGTACAATTGGCTGGTGAAGCCATGAATATGACTACAAATGAACAGATAGATAATGGAGAAAAAACTCTCACTGACCAATCTGCTGGAAATTTATCAGTTGTATGTGAAAATAAGGAATGCCAGTTACAATCCCAGACTATGCCTGACAGCTGTCTGAGTAAAAGTTCTGAGGGAAAAATGATACAGAGCATGAATAAAGTCAATGAGTTGTTCTCTAAAAGCAATTCTTCTAATTCACTGGTAGATGGTTGCAGTGAAAAGCTTCAGGATCCAGATTCCTCAGATTCCTCAGATTCTGAGATCTCTCAACCGCTGAGAAAGGTCCGCACAGAGAAAATACCAATATATTTCAATGATTTTGTTAAAAATCAGAACGTGAAAGCAAGCAACAAGGAATTAGTTAGAAAAAGAGGAGACCCTGTTTTGGAAAATAGTGATCAAGTCTTTACTGCTGTTAAAAAATCTCCAACAGAACAACCGGAAGCTGCTTTTTCAAAAATCACCTGTGTTGTGGAAGCAGTGTCCATGTTAAAAGGAGATGGAGATAAGCAAGTTCAGAGTGAATGCCACGTGTTACCAGATATGAAAAACAAAAGTAGTTATTTGAACAAGAGAAATAAAGAATTAATCAAACCACTTGGTGAACTGCAAATGTTGAATAAAAGTCCTAAGCTATCTGAGGAGACCAAGGAAGAACTGGGTATTAAGGAGCTGAGAAAAATGAATCGAGACCAGATGAGAGGCAAATGGAACAGGCAGCTTCAGTTGTTCACAAAAGAAGGCAGGAGACAAAGTGAACCAACTAAGAGAAAAATAAATGTGAATAAGCGAGATGATACCAAAACTGTCAATAAAAACTTAGAAGTTGTTGAGGGAAACGTGACTGTCAAACAGCAACAGGATGTATCTTTTCTAGATTCCTGCATGGAACAACCTGGTTTTAGTTACCGACAGGACAATAGATCTTCCTTTTTCTGCAGGACGACACAAGTACAATTGGCTGGTGAAGCCATGAATATGACTACAAATAAACAGATAGATAATGGAGAAAAAACTCTCACTGACCAATCTGCTGGAAATTTATCAGTTGTATGTGAAAATAAGGAATGCCAGTTACAGTCCCAGACTATGCCTGACAGCTGTCTGAGTAAACGTTCTGAAGGGAAAATGATACAGAGCATGAATAAAGCCAATGAGTTGTTCTCTAAAAGCAATTCTTCTAATTCACTGGTAGATGGTTGCAGTGAAAAGCTTCAGGATCCGGATTCCTCAGATTCTGAGATCTCTCAACCGCTGAGAAAGGTCCGCACAGAGAAAATACCAATATATTTCAATGATTTCGTTAAAAATCAGAATGTGGAAGCAAGCAACAAGGAATTAGTTAGAAAAAGAGGAGACCCTGTTTTGGAAAATAGTGATCAAGTCTTTACTGCTGTTAAAAAATCTCCAGCAGAACAACCGGAAGCTGCTTTTTCAAAAATCACCTGTGTTGTGGAAGCAGTGTCCATGTTAAAAGGAGATGGAGATAAGCAAGCTCAGAGTGAATGCCACGTGTTACCAGAATTGAACCTAACAGATATGAAAAACAAAAGTAGTTATTTGAACAAGAGAAATAAAGAATTAATCAAACCACTTGGTAAACTGCAGGTGTTGAATAAAAGCCCTAAACTATCTGAGGAGACCAAGGAAGAACTGGGTATTAAGGAGCTGAGAAAAATGAATCAAGACCAGACGAGAGGCAAATGGAACAGGCAGCTTCAGTTGTTCACAAAAGAAGGCAGGAGACAAAGTGAACCAACTAAGAGAAAAATAAATGTGAATGAGAGAGAACTGAAACAATCCATCTCTCTTTCAGAAACAATGCCATCTTCCTCTGTAACAGAAGATGTCTCCGGTGTCCTGCAGGAAAATCCAAAGAAAGCAAAGTCTTATTCAAATACCAGCATGATTGATATGCTTCACCTATGTAATGTAGACATGGCTTATGCTAACCATGAAAACTTTCCTCATGTGATTGGGACTGTAAAAGACATTCTGAATACTGAAGAAACTGCAGAGAGCCACAATACAGATTCCCAAGACAGGAGCTCATGCTTGCAGTTTCATCCTGGAAAGGTAGAACAAACAGCTTCCAAGGATAAACAGGTCATGGTGAATCAACTTGATAAATATGGAATTTGTTCTGAAGTAATACAGAGTGATGGAATTTGCACAGATAATTGCAAGTCCCCTGAAACCAACAATAAAGCTAAAGGAAGTTGTGAATTGAATCTGGAAACTGATGACAGTGAACTAGATACAGGCTTCATGCAGAATATATTTGGCTGCTGCAAACGCCAGTCATTCTTGCTATGTCCAAGTCCAGTAAATGAATTGGCTGTGGATATTAAATATTTGCAAGGGCTAAACCCTGACAAAGAGGATAAAGATGGAACACACGAAGAGAAATGTGATGTTTCTTGTGACGAGAATAAAAGTACCTCTATCCAAACACCAACATTTTCTACATCCAGTTTTTCTGAACATAAAAATGAGTATCTTCAGTTTGCCTTGAAAGTTCCACTTCCTGATTGTCCATCAATATCTCTACAAACAGTTACCAGAAATGAAGAAGATGGATGTCAACAGGAAAGTAAAAAGATAATGGATGAACAGAGACAGTCTCCAGGGTTAGAGAACAAAATTGAAAGTCCAGATGATTGCATTGGAAGTTTGAATGTCTGGAAAAATAGCAATTTGCATGATACAAGTTTCAACCATGTTAATAGGAGTAGCTCTGGTTCAGTCCACTTACAAGAAACAAAATCCAAAGAGATTGAAAACAAAAAAATGGAACTGAATTCTCAGATAGAATTAATGAAGAAACATTATTTAAATTCTGTATCATCGTTATTCAGATTCATCAATGCTGAAAAGAACCCCATGGAAGAAAGGCAACTGAACAGTTACACAGAAAAAGCTGTTGATGTTTCTAGCACTGGTGGGATTAAGAGTGTGATTCCCCAACTGAATTTAGAATGTTCTGCGAAAGAGCATCAGCATTTTGAACTGCTGTCAGAGACACCAGACAACTTGCTGGACACACCTACCAAAAATAAAAAGGGTTCACCAAACCTTTGGAATAAGAATGACATCTTGCCCATGTCTGCTAAAATAGACAAGCAAACCACTGATGGGACAGATCTGGATAGCAAAAACAAATGCAGTATCACGTTGAAGAGTCAGGAGTTTATTTTGACTTACCAGAAATTGCTACAGAAGCTGCCATCCTCAGAAGAGGATTCTGGTGAAGATGAAAAGCTTCCTTGTTTTCAGGCACTACTAAATATGCAGAGCACACTATCACACCCAGTAAAAGAGAAGGAAATACCAGTAGAGGTGCTAGAATCAAAGAGCAGCAGCAGCAGCAATTGTTTCAAACACAAAAAAGAGGATGTCTGCCAAAGCCAGGAATCAGAATTCTCTGTGAATTTATTTTCCTCTCAGTCAAATGTATCTGTGGTCTCTGGCAAGGATTGTAATTCAAAGGATTTAATCCCATTCTCTAATTCCAAAGAGAAGTTGCCCAGTCTCAGTGGGAATAACAAAGACATTTCACCTAGTGATAAAGTCTCTATAGATGTCGAGCAACTAAAATGTGGGCAAGAAGAATATGCACATTCAGAATCCAATTTAGGTACAAAATTGCCGTTGCAAGTATTACCTAGAATTGCTTTATTTTTAAATACCCTTCTGCAATTTTGAATATACATTTCTAGCTCCAGTGAGAGAGAAAAAGTATTCATCTTGATGCTTTTTTATGAATTAATCCAAGGATTCTCAAACTTTATTAGATTATGAATTCCTTACAAGTAACACATGAATTTGTTTTGCCCACCAAATAAAATCAAGGGTGGTTGGAGCAAGTAATGAATTACTTTTATTTTGTTACTTGTATTACTGTATTTTTCGATGTATATGACGCACTTCCCCCTCTCCCCAAAGTGGGTGAAAATACCTGCGTTTTATAGAGCAAATGTTTCTGAAGGCCCGGCGACCTGCTGGCCCCCGCCCGTCAGCTTCTGCCTTCCAGCAATTTGCCTCCTTGCAGCAAACAGCCTGGTCAGCTTCAGCACAGCCTGATTTAGCGTGAGTAGCTGATTGGTGATTGGATCTGCGTGCCTCCGCACATTCCATTTCGGCCTCCGTGTGCCCCATTTTCAGCCCGTTCCAGGCAGTGGTGATCACTGCTGCAGCCTATCCCTGCTGCCTGGAACAAACCAAAAAAGGGGTGCGCGGAGGTAGTGATAGGTGGCAGCAGTGATGGGCAGCAATGGCGATCACCACAGCCTGGAACAGCTGATAGGCGGTATTCCAGGAGGCAGATCCAACCATCAATTAGCTGCTTGTGCTAAATCAGGCTGTGCTGAAACTGACCTTGCTATTTGCTGCAACGAGGCAAATTGCTGGGAGACAGGGGCAGATTTTTTTTTTCTTGTTTTCCTCCCCAAAAGCTAGATGCATCTTATAGTCTGGAGCATCTTATAGTCCGAAAAATACAGTAATTACATTTTATTTACATAACCAAATCATGGCACTGTGAAATTTAAAATTCAAGTTTAACCATCCATTTTTTTTAATCGGAAGAATTAATTTTTTTATTTTTGCATTATTACTGAAACCTGGATTTCATTTTTGAGACAATTCTCATTTCTTATCCATATTAATTTTTAATCAGAATTTGCTCTTTCTATCAATAATAGTTAAATATTGTCTCAGAAATGGGATGTTGTAAATGTAATTATTCATTTTGCACGTAACAGTAGCTGAGGTGTCAATTGAAATTCCTTAAAAAATTGTCAAATGTTGAAAGAACTTCATGTAATTTATAATTTTTTATTATAATTTTAATCAATTTCTAATTTTAATCTGAATTTTTATTTTGCTTGTCTCCCAAAAGAATTGGTAACTAGAATTATTTATTTATTTATTTATTTATTGGTCTATTATGGTTTGTCATGCAATCAGTCAGATGTTCAGACTGTATTTGGCATTTTTTATTCATCTATTGAATTCTTCCCAGGGACCTGGGATAGACAGATATAGATGTTATAGGATGTTAGGATGGAAGCTGTTTCAAGTAAAACTGAATTCTGCAATTGACTGGTAATGAATTTGTCAATGCTGATGGTATTTAACTGGTGCTCCAGTTGTTTTGGGATGGTACCCAAGGCGCCTAATACTAATGGAAATACATTTGCTTTCTTTTGCCACAGTCATTCTTTTTAGATTTGCAAGTTTTTGAATTTTGTTACCTTCTCAAGTTCCTTTTCTTGCATTCTTCTGTCTCCAGGTACTGCCATGTCCATCATCCAGACTTTTTTGTCTTATTAAAAATTGTTAAGTTTGATATATTATATGATAGGTGCCTGTCTGTTGGAATCCCAGAGGACTTTAGCATTTCATTCTCTCTAACTTGCTCTGTTTTATGGTCTCATCAGTTCTTGCTTGCAGAGAAATGGTATTTCTTCCAATGCACCATTATTGCTACTTTGTTCTGCTGTTGCTTGTAGTCAGACTGCAATCTTCTTGAAGCACCTAAGGAGGTAGTCTACTGTTTCTTCCACATTTTTACTGTGGTGGCACTTTCTAACTATTGCAGTATTCTCAATTCTGGCTTTGTATGTACAGGTAGTCCTCAACTTACAATAGTTCATTTAGTGACCATTTGAAGTTACAATGGCCCTGGAAAAAGTGGCTTATGACTGTTTTTCATATTTATGACCCTTGCAGCATCTCCCAGGTCACATGATCAAAACTCATTTATGACAGTTGCAGTGTCCCAGGGTCATATGAACCCTCTGCTGACAAGCAAGAGTCAGTGCGGGATTTCAGATTCACTTAACAGCTGTACTACTAACTTAACAATTGCAGTGAATCACTTAACAACTGTGGGAAGAAAGATCATAAAATGGGACAAAATACACTTAACTGTCTCACTTAACAACATAAATTTTGGTCTCAATTATGGTCATAAATCAAGGGTTATCCATATTTGTTTTTAAGGCTTGGTCTTGTGCAGTCAGAATTACCCTCGCCATCTCTTCTTGCTCTTAGCCATTGCCAGGTCTTGTTATTATGTGCTTTACCTGTTAAATCTGCTAGCAATGTAATATTTTCCCATAACTCTTTTCTGTTCTTCAGTTGGTTCTTATAGGCCAGTTTGGCCTCTCCAGTACACAGTAACTCTTCCTGGTATATATACTGGCTTCAGTACACCTTCTTCACTGTCTTTCAGATATTCTTCCAAGTCCCTTATTTCTTCTTCAACCTTCTGATGTACTTGCAACGTTCCAAGCCTATGTATTTTCTTTGGTAAATAGAATATGTCAACATCACTCTGAGAATAAAAGACATAATTCATTGTCATTATTTTTTTATTCTTGCTGTCCAGGGTTTAGTCTACTATTCCAACTATGTATCTAATGATTGGAACTGTCCAGGAGTTAATTGCCTCAATGGTATTTCCTCTACTGAGTTTGAACTTTAAGATCTTTATTCTGTTGATGTATTCACGTTTAACCTTTTGGTTGATTTCATTGCACTTGATGTTGCCAGCTTGAAGGATATCCAGGTATTTGTAGTAATCATCTTCATCCAGATGTAATGTTATTTTTATAGAGCATCTAGATTATTTCAGTTTTCACTATTTTTCCCCATTTGATGGTAAGCATGGCATATTTGTCCAATCCCAACTCCATTGCAATATTTTGGCTGTACATACAGTGTTATGCAGTGATTCTATTTCAGATGGTGTTTTTCCGTACAGTTTCAGATCGTTCAGGTAAAGAAGATGGATTAGTCTTGCAGATGTTTTTGATGTTTGAAAGCCATGATCTGACTTACTCAATATTGCTGATAGAGGAATCTGTGCAATGACAAACAGTGATGACTTTGAGTCTCCTTGCAATATTCTTCTCTTCATATTAACCTCTCCCAAACTATCACCATTGACCTGCAGCCACATCTTCTATTGTGCCATTGATCTTTGCACAAAGCATCTGATGTTTCTACCGTGTTTCTCTGTTAGAGGCCTTCAGGAATGGCCTCTGCAGTTGAGAAATGGGCTCCGGATTGACAATGGATGGCGCCCCCTGGCCTCGTTTCACCGCCAAATCAATCCGGATCTCTTATCAGCTGCAGAGACAATGATGTTAACCCTTTAGAGCACTGTCCTATCTGCCACTGTGCAATTGGCAAATCATACACAGGTGCTGTAAGTTAAAATACACTATGTTGCAGCGGTAGAAGGTCACAAACAGTTTTTCATTCAGTTGTTGTTTTCTGAGAAGTCTCAGGTAGTCTCTGCTGAGCCCTTTTTACCAGTGCTGCAATGTGAGCGCCCTATGTCAGGCCCTCTTTTATGATAACACCCAGAAAGTTAAAACTAGCCACTTGATCCACTTGGTCTCCATTAATAACCAAGGACTGGATGGTCCAATTACCAAATGGTCCACTATTTTTTCAATTTCTTTGCATAGGCAGCACTTACTGTCTGTTGCTGTCTTCTTAATATTGCTTTTGTATACCTTTGTTTTTAAGGGTTGATCTTGTGCAGCTAGAATTAGTCCCTCTCTCTCTTTCTTACTTAGCCAGTTTTTAACCATTGTCTAAAAACTGGCTAAAAAAATATTGTCTAAGAACAGGAAAATTGAAGAAAGACCAAGGGATTAAGGATTAATTCTGGCTGCCTTAATCATATTTATTGTTATTGTTAATCTTCAATTTGATTCACAGTCTGGGACTGGTAAAAACTTAACAATTCAAGTCCTAACCAAGGATCTAAGAGCTATTAATGTAACATCTGAGTATAAAGGCAGTTCCAAGTAAGGTAATCTTTTGCAAAGTCAGGATATTCAGGTATGGTAAATTCAAATTTTCCATGTATCCAGTGGTGGGATTCAGCTAGTTCACATTGGTTTGGAAGAACCATTATACTTTGTTAATTTGTCTCTTTAGCTTGTCATTTTGTAGCCCAAGTATGCTCACCAACTTTCTAAAGAGCTTAAATGACCTCTCTGCTAAAGGATTTCACTTTATGAGTAAGAGTTGGCTGCTGATAGTTATCTTTCCATTTTAACTATTTTAATTCCTCAAGGTGCTTTGGCACCCTGCCTGATTTGTAACTCTGGGTTGCAGGTATTGCTGATGAAAAGGAAGATATTCAGACAGAATGGTTTAGGTTTCCATGATGGCTGTGACTGGAATTGACTTTCAGTGTGTATTCCCTCATTTCTAATCTAATGATTGGTATTTAAGGCAACTTTTTGCAAGCAAAAAGCTTTTTGTATTTTTTGTACAGGCAATCCTTGACTTACAACAGTTCATTTAGTGATCATTCAAAGTTTCAATGGCACTGAAAAAAGTGATTTATGACCGTTTTTTACATTTATGACTGTTGCAGCATCCAGACTATTATCATTGTCATCGTTATTGTTGTTATTATTATTATTATTGATTTAATCTTCAATTTGATTCACAGTCTGGGGGTGGTAAAAACTTAGCATTTCAAGTCCTAACCAAGAACTTAAGAGCTGTTAAGGTAACATCTGAATATACAGATAGTTCTGAGTAAGGTTATTATTATTATAATTATTATTGTCAGTTTTACTTAAAAGTTTTTTTTTTAATGGTTTCCCAATTTTGAAGTTACTGATGCTACCTTGGTCCATCAGTTTGAGAATCCTTGAATTAAAATATGTGTCTCTGTCCATTGAAATATTTCATTTGGCTGTGTGCTTTTATTCTTTTTTAATGCCTATGAAGAATTCCATTTTAATGCATGTTTGCATTCTGCATTTCAGAAGTTAACTAACCATTTTTAGTATAGATATATACAAAATAGTAAACATGCTTTGCTTTAAGGTCAGGAAAACAGCCACTGAAATATGTTACTGGAGCAATCTTGGATTTATTATGTTGGTGTAAAATATGAAATATTTCAGATATTCCAACCATAGAAGATAATGGAATTCAGAATAAGGTTCTTGCTTTACTTTTTTACTCCTGGGCTACTAAATAGATGGACAAATAATCTATTTCCACTCCATGCCAACCAGCTGGCAGTAAAATGTTAATGACTATTTTTTTAAAAAAAAATTAGAACTATCTCAGTCAGTTTGGAATTTGGATGGCAAATAGCTCAGATTGCTATCCCCCTTCACATTCTATATATCTACGTCAAGTTCACAGACAAGTCTAGTGCCTTCCTCTTCCAAAATCCAGCCTGTGCGTTTTACAACTATTGAAAAAGGCTACAGCTGTATTGTTGGTTCAATAATAAAGAAACATTGCAGTACAGCTTTTTTAAGTAAGAGAAAACCATTATTGCCTTAGGCTTTAAATCCCAGAAGAACTTCCATTTCAGTATACTCTAAAGCTCAGTATCAACAGGATGCAAAAGTGTACAAATAAATACCACAGCCCAGCAAATGAATTACAACCATAATTTATTTATTTAATAAATTTATATGCCGTCCAGCTCACAGCAATTCAGTTTTGATTTTTCCTAGTAAAGCATTTATTCAATAATTTTATCAGACACAGTTGAGACCAGTTATCTCCATATTTATTCTCTTTCTCTGCAAAAGAATAAGCAGAAAAGTCTATAATAACTTAAATTCTGAGTTATATGCTTAGTATCTTACTGTGCTCCAGCATCCCTATTAAATCATTCCATCAAAGTGCAACCCAGTAGCAGCCCAATAGGATCATGACTCACCCATAGGTTTGAAAAATTTAAAAAACAACAGCAGTCCATTGCTGTTTACATACTAAGCTACAGATACATCAAGTGGTTTAGCATAATCTGTGAATCACACCATGTTAAATATGTAACAAAATGGCTATCTAGGTCTCTGCTGTATTAGTCTTTCTAAATCAGACTTGAAATTACTTTAATAAAATCAAACCCTCATAGGTTGAGACCATTCATAAACAAAGGTAGAGCTTAGAGAAACATTGCTACTTTGGAGTTCTGCTCAATTTCTCATATATTTATTTTATTTTATTTTTCATTACTTGCCTAATATCAAGTAACTTCAATACCCATATAGGTGCCTGTCATATAGGATGCTTTATTGCTTGTATATCTATATGGTCTAAATTCAGATGCTGAAAAAAATCTATAGAGTTCTGTAGTTTCTTAATTCCTCATGTTATTCTTTAAAGAGCTTTCCACCCCCAACTCTTTCAGGAATTGTTTGCTCTCTCTTACTCTCTGTAAAATATTTTGTTTCTGTAAGGTGAAGAAATGATGCCCTATGCCAGTGGAGCAACCCCTCTGGAAGATTCATTAGGTCAATTCTCCCAGAGTGAAATTCTCACCACACAGGTATGAGATTGTATGTTTTCAAACATAAATGTGATGACCTAATTTATGTGAATGGCAACATAAGATTATTTAGATGCTACTTTATAAGGAAGAGTTTGCAATGAATGTGAATAATTTGAGGAGGATTAGCTAAAATTATGAAAGGTTTGTAAATTCATTTACATGATAATACAAAGGTCTAGATATGTTTAGTCTGTTAGAGTTGATAAAAGAGTGTATAACCAGGACATTCAAATATGGGGAAGATACAGACAAAAAGATGCTTTTACTTTTGGTTCAGCTATTTTTTTTCCTTAACAATTCTTATTGGATCTTTTCTCTTATTTACTGGCTAGTGATTTTGATAAAGATGTCCTGATCTCACAGTTAAATTAGAAATAAGTGAGGGAACTGATATCGCCTCACCAGAGGTCTGTAGAAACCTCATTGCTCTAGGACAGTGGTTCTCAACCTTCCTAATGCCGCAACCCTTTAATACAGTTCCTCATGTTGTGGTGACCCCCAACCATAAAATTATTCCTAAAACCATTGAAAATATGTCTTCCGATGGTCATAGGCGACCCCTGTGAAAGGGTCATTCGACCCCCCCCCAAAGGGATCCCGACCCACAGGTTGAGAACCACTGCTCTAGGAAGTTGTTTCTCTTATCTTCTATCTGTATCTTAAGACATACCTAGCATTGTTTCCTTTGCACTGTAAAGTGGATTTTTGGGTTCTCCACCAACTGTGTTGTCCCTGAAAGTTGACGTGAAGTCTATGATTTTCTAGTAGGCATCCTATAATTTTCATGAATTTTAAAATCCTATGTAAGGTGAAGTACTTTCTTCAACAGGGCCGCATGGTTGACTGTATCATAAGCCACAGTGAGATCAATGAAACCCCACTCCTGTGATTTCCTTCAGTTTGAAGCCATCCTGTATATATTGTATTAGGTTAACTTGAGCTGGACAGTTTTTGCTAGGCCTGAAAATTATAGTTCAATTATTAAAGTTAAAAAGATTAAAGTTAAGTATCGGGAATGTAGTAAAAATATTATTTAGATGGACTAACCCAAAAAATACAATTGTGAAATTTTAATAAATGGTGGCCAGGAAATTACAACCCAAATTTATTAATTTATTTTGTTTTCAATTCTGCAAGCAATTGTATAAATTTGATGAACTGACTGATTCATGACAATATTATGGACAGTGAAGAAAAGAAAAAAAAAAAGAATCAACCCTGAGATTTGATTTGAGGTACAAATTAACAGGCAAACAATCCTACTTTGGATATATAATGCAAAGATCCAGCTCTGTGGGAAAGTAGGTTGAAATGGCATAAACAGGAGACCAATAGCAAGGTCAATGGATCCAGTTACAAAAGTGATGGCTGTGCTGTTGTACAGGTAGTCTTTGATTTACAGCCACAATTTAGCCCCAAATTTATGTTGCTAAGTAAGGCATTTGTTAAGTGAGTTTTGCCCCATTTTACGACCTTTCTTGCCATAGTGAATCACCACAGTTGTTAAGTTAGTAACATGGTTGTTAAATGAATCTGGCTTCTTCATTGACTTTGCTTGTCAGAAGGTAACAAAATAATGGTCATTTGCCTAAATATGAGTCAGTTGCCAAGCGTCTGAATTTTAATCATGTGACCATGGGGAGGCTACAATGGTTGTAAGTATGAAAAATAGTCATAAGTCACCTTTTTCAGTGCTATTGTAATTTCAAATGGTCACCAAATGAACTGTTGTAAGCCAAGGACTACCTGTATTATTTTTTGGCTTATATAATCAAAACTATCTTCCTTTTTTGGATTACAATTGTACTAAGATTTAAATAAATTAGATGTAGATAGAAAATTCTGGGAGTCTTTTGAAAATGAAAAAAATGATCAGGATGGGTAAAAAGGCCTCCTTTCTATATGAAAGATTAACTATTCAGGACCCTGCTGAGAAGGATGCTGGAAAACTAAAACTTAAAATGGGCAAGGAGAAAGAGTTTGGTGCAGTGGTTAAGGCAATAGGCTAGAAATCACAAGACCATGAGTCTTGCACACACCCCATGTTTGGAATCGGGAAGGGGATTGCGGGTCTGCTGCCCGAACCCGTGATCCCCTTCCCGATTCCAAACATGTTGTGTGTGCAGAGACAAAAAAAAGTGTATCATGTTTCAGGCGGCGGATCTGTCCAGGAGGAAAGAGAAGAGTCTGCTGAGAAGGAGGACGGGGGCGCGTGGCTCTGCAATGTGCAGAAAAACACTTTTAGGCGTCAGCGCTAAAATCTCCTCCCTGAATCCAAAGCACTTCCCAGTTCCCCACTGCACATTGCAGGGGAACTGGTCACCACCTGAAGCGCGACTCTTGAGGTTTGCATTTTGGAATCCGGGCAGCGATGGCTGGAAAGGAGGAACGTTTCCCTTTAGGGGCTCCCATTCAGCTCGGCTTGGCTCCTGGGTGCAAAGAGGGTTAGGCAGCGGCGGCGGCTCCTCACATTGCTGGGGAGTGAAGTCAGCGCGGCCAGAGGGGTGACCAGCCACAAATCGTGGCATCCGCCTTGTTCCCCAAAGCTGCTGGGCAGATTCCCCCCCCATCCCGAAGAGGGAGGGTTGTTCCTCAGGCTGTGCCCTGACCCAGATCCCTGCCGCCTGGAACTGGCCGAAAATGGCCGAAGGGTGGGGGCTGGCGGGTGGGCGGGGCTACATTCGACGTATAAGACGCACCCAGATTTTCACCCCCTTTTGGGGGATAAAAAGGTGCGTCTTATACACCGAAAAATACGGTAATGTTGATACTGTTTGCCCGCAAGAAACACATATACAACAAAACCATGCCAATTTACTTGGGGGGAAAGCTAGGGTAGGTATATTCAGTAATAGGAAAGACAAAAATTGAATAGTATTTAATTTAAATATTAGGAATACTAGAAGAATTAAAAGATAAAGATGGAAGAATTTTAATCCTGAAATTAAGAAAAGAAGATCTCAATGCTGGCATGACCTTATGCTCCAAACTCAAATAAGGAAGAATTCTAGAAAATATTATTTCAGTTATTGATAGGCATTATAGGGGAGGAAATAATTATTGTAGGAAATTTGAATAGAGTGCTAAGTTGAAGCTTAGACAAATCATCGCAGGGGGAAAAGGAGACAGCACCTTTTGAAAAGTTTTTAATATGTGTATCTACTGGCTTTGATCAATGCTTGGATATTTTAAAACTATCCCAAAGCAAAAAATTACAGGATGTTTTTTTCTAGCAAAACATCAAATGTATTCGAAAATTTATATGTGCTAGAGGCTCTTGCACCATTTATTAAAGAAGTATGGATTTGCTCAATGGTCTACACAGATCACACATCAATTCTAATATCTTCAGAGAGAAAAAAATGCCTTTCAGAGGGTGAATGAATGATACTCTGATAATTCAAGACAGTATATTCCAGAAATACAAAGAAAAATAAAAGTGCTTTTTATAAATATATACAATTCTGGGGATGTCAGAGGTAAATATTTGGGAGATACCTTATATGCAAAGCTTGTATCTCATTAGGCTAACTATATTTTAATAAAGCTTGCAGCAAATAAAAAAAAGACAATGAAAATCATAATTAAATGAGAAAATAAAAAAACAGAGCAGATTCATAAAACCAATCCAGGTTGACAACACTCAAATAAATTAACATCAACTAACTATATTGAAGATGGCAGAACTCCCAAAAATGATAAAATATGTCAAAATTCTCTTTAAATTTTCAAGAACATTTTAAAAATGCAAAGAAACGTTTCATATATCAAATTAGAAAAGAGAAAGAATGATAAAAGCTATAGAGAAGAACAATAAATTATGTACAAGATAATATCAGAACATGAAAAAAAAATAGGAATTATATTCCAGTCACAAAATTGACAATGAATTTGAAAAAAATATATTGGGCCTAAAGAATTTACAGAACATAAAGATATATTTCAAAACAATTACAGCAAGTAATGGAAATAAATAAAATTGTGAAGAAGAAGAAGATAGTTAAAACTTTCATTACAAAATGTTCTATGAATGGCATACAATTGTCAATTATTGCCAAGAAGGAAAAAAAATACAATAATAAATGTTGAAAATGACACCCCAAAGAAGAAATACTTTATCATAAGTGATGGTTTTGTAAAAAGACTCAAAAGTACTGGAAAGAAATAAACATTCAGAAATTCTGCAAACAAAATTTGAATTACTACGACAAATACTTTTATTAGATGTGATCCCAGAAAGCATAAATGTACAGCATCATAATTTATTAAGATACATGTTGATAGAGACAAGACTTAATTTGCTACAACATTGGAAAAGAAAAAACTTTCTGGCAATACAAATTGAGAGACTAAATTGGAGAATAGGTAGCTATGAAAACATTGATACTATATATTTACAGCAGACATTTCACCAAATTCAAGTAGCAATGATTCTCAACATATTACACAGCAAGTCAATTTAAATGTTTTCTGAAGAAAAAAGGAAACTATTTAAAAGAAGTCAAATGATTCAAATAGAAATGAGCAAGAATCACAGATGTCCAAACCATTATAAAGCAATGTTTAAGTAGCATTTCAAGGTGGGAAGAGGGGAACTACTAGAATGTTTTATCCAATCATGTTTTTTTATTCCTTTTTTTATTTGTTTTGCCTTTTAAATATATTTTTACCACCTTTGCTCTAGTGTAAAATATTTATAAGTGTTCATTTCCCTTTTCTTTGTTTTTGTTGTTTGTTTTGCCTAACGATGATGAGCGGATTCAAGAAATATGTGACTTGCCAATTTTTGACAAGACATTTTTTTCTATGAATCAAGATATTAATCAAAATGATTTTCTTTTGCATATATTCCATAACATTGAAAACAATTCCAAACAGACAAATTTTTATTTGTGATTTGATAAATTGCTTTTATATATTTGTAATTTATTTAGATGTTTTATTGAAATTTAATGTGTTAATTGTTAGGGTTTTATTTCTCTTTACCTTTTTTTTTTTTTTTTGGTTTGGTAATAGAGCTTAATTAGGTTACCTGTTGGATGGAAGTGTATATTACCATTTTAAAAATTGGATTTGTTTATTGTTTTTTTTATTACAACCTAATTTCAATGTATTTTTTTAAAAATTACAATGAAATTTACAGTGAAAAATATTGTCTCTGACCAAATGAAAAGGGATCTTATTTTAATTAATTTTCCTGCAATACAGTATTATTATTTTGCAATTTAAGGTAGATTGAAAGAGCTCCTGATCTTTGAGTTTTAGATCAGATTAGAAACCAGAAAAAAATTATTTATCAAATTTAGATATCACCCATCTCACTCTCAAAAGTTACTCCAAATGGTTACAAATACAAGCATAAAATGTTAAGCAACTAATTTCCATTCTTGATATTGATTTTGTTAGTGCAGCATTGTTAGCCAGAATTATGAGTAGAGTTGGAGGTTTATCATGTTTTTTCCCCCTCTGTTTTGCAAGATGGGAAGATAAACAATTACCTTCATTTTTGAGCTGAGTGACAATGTTACCCTTTTATTTATTTATGCCACTTATATGCTGCCATTAACTCAAAACCTGAAGTTATTAGATGAATAATGAGATATACTAATAGTTCTGAGTCTGAAGCACAGAAGTGCTTCCGTGGTAAAAGGATTTGCTTGTGATATCACCATGTAATTCTCTGTGTGTCTTCACTTCTGAATGTTTTATTCTCTGTTCATTGATGAAAAGCTATCGGAGGCAAGCCTGTGTCCTGTTCTTTTCTGTTTGTAGCAAAGGGATGCTATGCAAAATAACTTAAAGCAACTGCAGCAGAAGATGGCTATCATTGAAGCTGTCCTCAAAGAGGGAAGCCAGAGTGTTGGCTCTGAAGGATGCTCACTGGAAAGAGAGGAAACTGATTTCAAAAGAGAGCAGACAGAAGCAAGAAAGGGTGAGTTGGCAGTGTTCTGAAACTGCCTGTCTTTTAAAAACAATATTCCTGAGAATTTAGAAATTTCTTCCTACTTATAAAATATTAACAAAGTAATTAATTTTTAAATGGAATATCCTGCTATGAATTTATGTATAAAATGCATACATTATTAAATGAATGCATTTCACACATAAATCCTCTGTTTTTTATCCTCAGAGAAATATTAAATCCTCAATTATTTGCTGGATTTAGTATACACTGTATAGGACTCAAGCATCCACTAGGAATTGACTCAAAGCTGAGAGGAACAATCCATTGTAGATGCTCTCTATTTATTTTCTTCTGGCAGTTTTATTCTTTCATTCTAAACATATGCCTTCTGTGCAGTATACTACCAGGGTATAGATTGTCACTGATGAATTATAGAGTTCATTTTGTTTTGTTATTAGTGGAGTTTATGAATATTAATTCAGAGTTCTGTTGCCATGGCAGTGGTTTTAAAATGGATTCCTATTGCATTGTTGTGATGGTGTATTAGCTAGTTGAGGGAAATAAACTAGTTTGGTCCAAGAAATGAACTTGTTCCAGGATTTTTCTTTGCAATTCTTTTGAACTGTGATTCTACACAAAGAAGATCAGTTTAATTATCATATCATCAGAAAAGCCAATTAAGTTTCATGGAACAACAACATATACAATAATGAGATTCCAGAGGCTTATAACTTTTGACATTTTATTGAAGTAGAATAATTGTAGTTAAAAGACATAATTAAGAGCCTTCTACAGAAGGATAGTCCAGGTAAACAGAGCACAAATTTCTGTCAGTTTCAATTCTCTCTGGGATACCACCATGAGAAACAGATTAAAAATATATATGGGAACAAAATAGTTGCTTCCAAGTTTTCTAGAAAAGCACCATTATAAATAGACAAGGTGGATCAGAATTATTAGGACAGCTGAATTTTTTCAAAAGATTCTGTTCAATAGATTGCATCACTTGACGTTTTCTACTTTTAAAATGTGATTGACAATTGGAAGTATAATTTGAATATTGTGTAGGTCATATATTAAGCTGAATGCTCAATAGACAATTAAAAGATACAGGCACCCCTAAGAAGAAAGAATATATATATATATTTATATTCTTTCTTCTTAGGGGTGCCTGTATCTTTTAATTGTGTGTGTGCGTGTGTGTGTGTTTGTGTGTGTGTATATATATTAAAATATCTATTTTTGTTTAAAAAATAACTTTATAATAATTGTTGTCAAATATAAAAGATGTCATTAACTAGATAAACAAGTTTTTTAAAAAAATCTTCTTTTCTAGAAATGCATAGTGTATTGGAAAAACCAGTCTCTCCCTTGGCACATACCACCTGCTGTAGCACAAGGAAAAGGAAAAGAAAGAGTCTAATTCTGAGTGGAGGGCAAAAAATGTCTCTGGTAGCATCTGGTTTAAACCAGAGTGAATTGGTAAGCATGCTCTGATATCCTTATAGATATTTCATAGCATCGGATATAAATTTTTCTGAGCTTTAAGATTTTGTGGGTGGCATTTTTTTAAAGATAAACTTGCTTTCATAGCTATTTTGTAAAATGCATAAAGCAATAAAACAATAAAAGCAGAAATCATATATATCCAACATTCAAGTGTTTAAACATATAAAATTCTATAAAAGATTTCATACCCATCCTAACAACCAGGTTTTCAGCAATAGTTTGAGTATAACCATACAAATATTTGAAGGGATGCATTTTGAAAGGGCAAGTGCTACAGCAAAGAAGAGACATTCAGTGTAATCTGAATAGAACTGAACAAGTAGAAACTTAATTGAAAGAACACAGATTTTTCTAGCTAAAAGGGCAGCTAATTGAACGGTCTTGATTTGTCTTACCTGTAACCAAACTAAGTCACACGCTGGAGGTGCTTCTAGATTCTGCCTTGCCTTATAGCAATTGTGGCTCACTTGTGTCCAGTTAGGCTCATCTACTAGCTGTAGCTGTTTCTAAAATCTGTAGTAGTTGGCTATGTTAATACCTTAATTATCTTTAGATTACTATACACTGTAAATGAAATAGATTTTAAAGATGGTAACTGAATTCCAGACCATCTCCAGTTATTAGCATCTTTACTCAATTTTTTGTTATTATTCATCTGTTTCAATTCAAGGACTTAATTATAACCATTACAATTTGAGAGCAGGACAGATAAAGGATTTATTTCTCCTATAAGAGCTGTGGTGGCGCAGTGGTTAGAATGCAGTACTGCAGGCTAACTCATGCTCACTCCAGGAGTTCAATTCTGAATGGCTCAGAATTGACTCGGCCTTCCATCCCTCCGAGGTCGGTAAAATGAGGAGCCAGATTGTTGGAGGCAATATGCTGACTCTGTAAACCGCTTAGAGAGGGCTGTAAAGCACTGTGAAGCAGTATATAAGACTAAGTGCTATTGCTCTATGAATGTATTTATTGGCTCCTAGCTGATGGGCGTTCTGCTGCCATGTGATGGTCTGTCAAAGTAATCATTTCCTAAATCTTTGAGCCATTCTAATTTTGGACTTTATCTGTTCTACCATGTTTTTATAGTTCATAATCATATTATCAAAGTAAGGTAGTTAATGTAAGGAAAAAGTGAGATATAGTTTTTTTAAATAAATGAAATATTCCATTCAGAAGCTAGCAATCTCTGGTGTATTAATAAAACCACAATTATTTCTAATTCAGTTTTTCTTTTCTTCTAGAAACTAGTACGTAAATTTGCCAAGAAAACTAAGAGCACTTGGTGTAATAAAATTACTGAACAAACAACCCATCTAATAATGAAAACAGGTGAGTTAGAAACACAAAAGTGAACTTCCTTTTTGTTTTATCTTCATAATTGATTGGGTAGGTAGGTATACCTTTAGGATTGTGAGATCTTAATTTAATAATAATAATAATAATAATAATAATAATAATAATAATAATAATAATTTTATTTCTATACCACCCTTCTCCCAAAGGATTCAGGGTGGTGTACAGCCTATTAAAAGCACAAAGACAGACATCAATTTAAAAATAATTAAAATTATTAAATAATTTCGGCTCAGATTTAAAACCCCAAATTTAAAACACCCAATTTAAAATCATTACATTGATAGCCCAGCCTGGCAGAACAGCAGGATCTTCAGGGCACAGCAGAATACATGGAGGTCGGAGATCTTACGCATTTCCGGGGGCAGTTCAGTCCACAGGGCAGGGGCTCCCACAGAGAAGGCCCTCCCCATGGGTGTCGCCAGCCGACATAACTTGGCTGACGGCACCCTGAGGAGACACTCTCTGTGGGAGCGGACTGACCGGTGGGAAGCTATTGGTGGCAGAAGTCGGTCTCGAAGGTACCCGGGTCCTATGCCATGGAGCGCTTTATAGGTGGTGACCAGCACCTTGAATCTCACCCGCTTGCGCAGGAGGGTGTCACGTGGGCACAACGAGTTGCGCCCATAACCACCCACACGGCTGCATTCTGGACCAGTTGGAGCCTCTAAGTGCTCTTCAAGGGGAGCCCCATGTAGAGAGCATTACAGTAGTCCAGCCGGGAGGTGACAAGGCGTGAGTGACCGTGCGCAAGGCGTCCCGGTCCAGAAAGGGCTGCAACTGGCGAATCAGGCAAACCTGATAAAAAGCCCCCTGGCCACGGTCGTCATAAAGACAGTCGTGCGTCCAGGAGGACACCCAGATTGCGAGCCCTCTCTGTGGGTGGTAGAGATTCATCCCCAATAGTCAGCGATGGCACCAGCTGACTATATCGGGACGCCGGAAGCCACAGCCCTCGGTCTTGGAAGGGTTGAGTCTGAGCCTATTTCTCCCCATCCAGACCCGCACGGCCTCCAGGCAACGAGACATCACATCAAGGGCATTGTTGGGGTGGTCTGGGGTGGAGATGTACAGCTGGGAGTCATCAGCGTACTGATGGACTCTCATCCCAAAACCACGGATGATCTCACCCAGCGGCTTCACATAAATGTTGTACAGAAGGGGCGAGAGGACCGACCCTTGCAGCACTCCATGCGAGGCGCCTCGAGGTTGACCTCTGCCCCCTTGCCAACACAAACTGCGAACGGTCAGAGAGGAAGGAGGAGAACCACCGCAGGACAGTGCCCCCTAACCCCCTCAACCGTTTCTGCATGATACCATGGTCGATGGTATCAAAAGCCGCTGAGAGATCTAATAGGACCAGGACAGAGGAGCAACCCCTGTCCCGAGCCCTCCAGAGATCATCTACCAACGCGACCAATGCCGTTTCTGTGCTGTACCCCTGCCTGAAGCCCGACTAGTACAGGTCCAGATAGATAGCTTCATCCAGGTGCCGGGGAAGCTGTCATGCCACCACACTCTCAACAACCTTCGCCACAAAATGAAGGTTGGAGACTGGACGGTAGTTAACTAATTCAGCCGGGTCCAGGGAAGGTTCCTTGAGGAGGGGCCTCATCACCGCCTCTTTCAAGGCGGCGGGAAAGGCACTCTCACTCAAAGAAGCACTTATAATCCCCTGGAGCCAGCCTCGTGTAACCTCCCGGGAGGCCAGTACCAACCAGGAGGGACACGGTCCAATAAACACGTGGCGGCACTAATCTTACCCAGAACCCTGTCCACATCCTCGGGAGCCACAGGATCAAACTCCAAATTAAATATTGCATATTTAATAATATGCAATAGCTAGTCTTGCCTATTTTAGATCTTTCATAAGGATCTTCCAAATTCTATTTTACATTGTTGCTCATTCATGTTCAGAGGTGATCTTTCTAATTGTTAAATGTTGGATATAGTGATTAACACAAAATTCTTACTATATCATATACTGCTAATATTCCTCCCAGAAGCATCTGGCTAGCTGTTTTGTGGCAAAAAATATTGATCAATATATCTCCTAATAATTGTAATAGTATGTAATGGTCTTGGAAGTCCTAATTAAAATCCATACATTTCCTGTTAGGTTTTGATTCCATTTCCTGTTTCACACTTGTATGCAAAACTATAATTTTTCTTTTTCTGTTCAAACATTATAGCAGTAGAACACAATAAAATGTGATTCAATGTTTAAATTTATATCTAGATTGCAAACAGAAGCGACAAATCAGCTAGAAAAGTTAACCATTAGGTAAAGAAAGTTCAAAAACAAATTATCCTGGTAAACAAATATATGCTACTTATTATTCAGGATACTGTGTCAGCTTTCTTTGAGTTAATATGGTATTTAAATTGGGTCTATTGCAACTGAGAGATAGTGCAGTTTTGGCCAACTTGATGTTTTCCTCAAATATTCCTATAGCTCCTGTATAGGTTGGGAATTCTGGGGTTTACAATCCAATAAATACCGAAGTGAGAAAAAGTATGGTAGTGAATGAACCAAAATTCCTAGTCTATTTCTTTCCCTCTTTCAAATGTCAAGTGTGATTGCAAATCATACTTATTTTTTCAGCTTCTAAAGTTATTACATGAAAGATGAAAGTGTCAAAAGGAAGGGAATTTTTTTTAAAAAAACAATTGTAATCTGATAGGTTTACTAAATCCCATGATTGTTGTAATAATACTTCAAGAGCTAATAAGATCATATGCTAACATAGAAGTCTTGTAAGATTTCAGTTGCTTTTCTCTTACTTCATTTGGACAGTCTGTAATCTGTGGCTGCTTTTCAGCAATTTTGCAAATGGGGGGGGGGCATCAAAAAAGCCACTGATTTTTGTTTGAAGGACTGCTTACCTACCTCTGCACTATTGCTCTTGGTGACTGTAATACAGTTCTTCTACTCTTTTATCTACCATTAAAAAGACTCAATTCCATCCATTTGTATAAAGGAAGCTGAGCTTTTTTTTGTAGTCTGTACTTTAAGATACAATTTGCAATCTTTCATTTTATATTGTTTCAAACTGTTATCTTGGCCAGGCTATGAAAAATATCATTTTAAAAGAAGGTATGTAATTGTTTAAAATAAATCGGTAAAGCTCTAGTCCAGTGATGGCTAACCTTTTCTACACTGAGTGCCGAAATGGGAGCACACATGATCCTTTTCGGCACCAAGTGCCAAAGCGTGTGTGCGCGCCAGAAACCAGAAAAGCATATGATCTTCAGGTTTCTGGCACGCATGTGTGCGCTGGCCACTTGCTCTCCAGTGCACATGCGCCGGCTCTGCCTGGCCTTTTGGGGATCCCCCGCCTCCCTGCCTGACCCCCCGTCAGGGAGGTGGTACATTCCTACCAACGACCCAGTCGCTTCCTAGCTGGCATACCTCTTACCTCTCGGCAGTGTCTCAATGCTGCACTCTCCTCCAGCCCTCCTGGGGCAGCTTGCCTCCCCAACAGCGGCTCCTCCTGCTTTTCCTCTCCAGCGTCCCAGCCGGGATCAGCAGTGCAAGAATTGCCTCCGCCCCATTGCAGTGGCAGGATCAGCAGGCAGGGTGGCTGGCCACCCAGCCAGCAAACCCTTCCCTGTGCGCCCGAGCTGGCCAGGCGCTCCGGACTGCGCTCCGGAGTGCCATGGGCTGAAGGGCTGGGGCCGCGCAAGTAGCCTGTTCGGGTGGGGAAGGAGGGAAGCCCCATCCTGGCTGGCAGTTCTGCTCCCCTTGTTCTTGCTCCCCTTCTTGGTTCCGGCTCGTCCATGTGTAATGGTCAGCTGGTCTTCACACGTGCATGTGCACCAGAAACCAGAAGACCAGGTTTCCCGGCGCACGCATGTGCCAGAATATGGAAGAGCAATGGGCAACAGCTCCGCGTGCCCAGAGAGATAGCTCTGCATGCCACTTCCAGCATAGGTTCGCTGGAACCTATCACAGCGCTAGTCTCTATAACTCAATAAGCTGCTTTTGAAACTGGTCATATTTTTGAAAGCAGTTTCTGACATTCCGTGAAGACCTGCTGTAAAGGAAATATTTTAAAAATAGTCAGTGGTCTTTATTTGTTTAATATTGAATACTGGTTTTTCTCTCTCTTTAATCTTCAGATGAGGATCTGGCCTGTGAGAGAACCCTGAAATACTTTATAGCTGTTGCTGCACGAAAATGGGTATTGAGCTACCAGTGTAAGTGTGAATATACAATTAAAAAATTCAGTTAAAAAGGACTTCCTTTCTGGTGCTCTGTGTATTTCAGTTTACTGTTCAGGCATAGACTCTTATTAGTAAACAGTTCATATCATTAACATACAATAAATTATTGTAAGTTAGCTGTGCAGTTATATCTGACATTTTGCCTTTAGCTAAAAAAGGAACATTTCATCAAAATTCATCCAATAAAACAATATAAACAATATAGGAAAATAAAGGCAGTAATACCATATTGGACAGTTCCATAAATCCATGGAGTGTCAACTAGTCAAAAGAAAACATTTATCTTTAGTAAATGTCAAACACTGAGTAGAAAGAAAGACATTTATAATTTCTGGCTTGACTGATACCAAGGATAATTCAAGACTGTTTCTTTCTTGAGCAAAACCAAATAAAATGCTTGTAGATATTCAAGGTATATGCCACTACTGTTCTTTGCATGCATCATGAGGAGGGGGGCATTTTCACCCTTCCCAAGCTCCTTCACCCTTTCTTTGAGCCTCCGGGAGGGTGAAAACGGCCTACTCCAGAGGCCCTCCAGAGGCTGGAAACGGGCATGTTTCCGGAACTTCCGGGGCCCCTGTTTTTTGCTCTCCCAGAGCCTTCACGCGGGCCCTGCACTTACCTGGCATCCAAAATGGGCTGCATGGAGACTCCGGGGAGGGGAGGGGTGGGCGGGGCCAGCCAGTCCTTGCAACTACCGATTCGGCGAACCAGATGTAAAATTAGCATTCGGTTCACCCAAACCGGCTGAATCCCACCCCTGGAACAAGAGAAGAAAAGAAAACTAAGCATTTAAGTATCCTGCTTATTTCATATAATTTAATTTGATTGTTTCTGATTACCAGGTATGTATTTTTTTTCTTGTGATATTGTGATACATTATTTTGCCTACAGTTGCTCTTAAAGGGACTAGCATTATCTCCAAAAATTAACCACAAACTATTTCAGCACTGGAATTCTTGTAGAGAATGAATTTTAAAATCTGTGAGGGATAGAGAGGTGAGGTTTCTAGCGGTGCATAGTAATACTGCTGGCAGGCACTATTATGTAAATATAGACTTACTCTTTTGCAACCCTCCATGCAGTTTTCTGTTGTATTTTTAAAATAAATGTTACAGATGGTCATAAGTGCTACTTTAAATAATAATAATAATTTCTCTTCAACTGGTCTAGGGATTATACATTCATTCGAAGCAGGAAGAGTTCTTAAAGAGGTAGGTCTGGTGTTTATGGGAAGGGATAGGTGGTTTTGGTCTTTTAACCAGTGTATAATGCTTGCAGAATCCTTAAACGAGGAAGGTGGAAGAAATTGGTGATTGATTAGTATATCTTTTTTTTGCCATTCGTTTAAATGCTTAGTCTTATACAATTCTCACTATAATATTGAGATGGTAATTTAATGTATGTATAATACATTATAAACGTAAATCTTATAAATCTTCAACTGCAAAGAATCTGGCATATTTGAAATATTAAACCAAGAAAAGATATTTCTGAGTATATAAAAAAAATTATTTGCAGATAAAAACCCTACAATTACAGTGGCAACAGTTACCTGTGGCTATAAAATTAAAGTTATCAATAATGAAACAATGATTTGCTTTAAGTTTATTATGTAATATTTACTAAATAGTTTACTTGTTTTATCCAGTACTAAGTTTACATTGTGTTTGTAACTTGCTTTTGGGCCTTTGAGCTGTAAACAAAATTGATTGATTGATGGAATACTTAGTAGATTCTAATGACCAAGAAGAGAATAGACATGAAAAATAGAGAAATCCTTAGTATGTCTATGAATTGCCTCTTGAGAGGAGAACAGCAACTAACAACAGGGGAGGCCATTCTTTAAGGATCGGAAACACAATTTCCTAACCTCAACTGGAGCTTCTTTTTTCTTTCTTCAGGCACTGCATTTGACATTTTGCCTGTGACATGCTAAAATGGAATCAAGCCACTGAAAGGCGTAGCATACATGCAAAAATTTAGAAATATAGCACAATAAATGTTCTGTTTCCCAAAGAAAGAAACAAACTGGACAATTTGAATGTCTTGCTAAATTTTGCTGCATGAAAGAAGATATTGATATTTAGCTGGGATAATTGCTGGGATGCTATACAGGCTGCGGCCTGTGTCTTCCTGGACTTCCTAGGATCCTTAATCTTGCAAGGAGCCAAAGAGATTAAGACTGCTGAGATAATTTCTTGTTCTCCTTTACTGAGTTAGGGAGAAGCAGTGACAGTTAGGCATTGCTCTGCATGTTTGGTTGTTTGAGGTTCCTGGTTTGGCAAATAACTTGAAGCTAATATAGATTGATGGCAGAGATTAAGGATCTTATTTACCAATGTTAGCAGAGGAAGAAATTATAACATATTATCTATGGTGACATCTATCTCTGACTCTCTTTTTCTGAATGACAGCTAGAATAACTTTGCATTGTTTTTCAGTCCCTTCCTGGATCTCATTGTATATTGGAGAAACCAGATTATTATTTCTTAAAATGTATATCTTGGCCCCCTGCACTCCATTTTTTTCATTTCCCCACTCAACTAGAGTAGACTCTAAGCTTCAGAAAAATTCTGCTTCAGTCCTGCTTGAGCTGGCTCTTATGTTGAAGGAAGAAGTTGAAAAGAGGAGAGGCCAGCAATTAGACGATGGATAGATTTTCTCCAAAAGCTTTTATGCTATAATTTTGATCCTCAGTATATATAACATGTCATACCTAACCTGTATGTTCAACCATCATCCTATCTTGCCATTGATCATAATGATATATTACTACCAAAGATGTATATTCAAATTGCTTAATTTGCTTAATTATTTCCACTTAAATATAATTTAAATCTCCTTTTTTTTTTTTTTTTACAATAAAATGTGGGATAAGAATTGTATTGTTGCAGTCATACATTCTTTCGACTGCTTCATTTTGGATATTTGACTTCTATCTGCCATAATTCTTTTTCTGCTTCAGTTATATAAGATATGGCTCAGTCAGGAATTTGTTGGCATGTGATTCTATCTGTTTTGTTTTCAGGAAGATTTTGAAGTGAGAGGAGATATAATCAATGGGAAAAACCATCAAGGACCTAAAAGAGCAAGAGAATCACCTGTTGGAAAGGTATGACTATCGTAAGTGGCACCTCACAAAGGAAAAAAGCTATCTCCAAAGTGTGCTCCTCTTCTTTGTCATCACAGGAAATGAAGAAGGTTGAGAAAAAGGTTGTTTTCACAAAATAGAATCCTGAGAAGGCTTTTGTTTTTCCGCAGGCCATGATGATCCTTAGGAGAAACATAGAATGCAATTATGTTGGATATAAAATTGTCCAGATAGATAACACAGCCTGCCTGAATAATTTTTGCAGCAATACTTACAGCTACTAGCATTTCTTAGCCTATCCTAAAGTTTTGTTTTGTTTTGTTTTTAATTTGATTTATATGCCGCCCTTCTCCGGAGACTCAGGGCGACTTACAATGCGTTAAGCAATAGCCTTCATACTTTTGTATATTTTATACAAAGTCAGCTTATTGCCCCCACAAACTGGGTCCTCAATTTACCTACCTTAGAAAGGATGGAAGGCTGAGTTTACCTTGAGTCTGGAGAGATTCGAACTTGCAGTAATTGCAGACAGCTGAATGCTAATAACAGGCTATTAGTCTGCTGCGCCACTAGACTCTTATTAGATTTCTTTTCTTTTTTTTAAAGTAGTTTTTATTGAATATAAATATTAAAAAAGACATACGTAACATATACACAACAAACATTTATACAACATATACACAAAAAGAGTATAATTTCTTCTTAAGCATTATTCTTATTAGATTTCTTTAAGTGGAATAGTATTGTCCCAAATGAGTATGGAGATGGATATGGTGTGATTTCCTCTTTAAAAAGTGACTTATTTTCTGAGCATTAAGATAATACATTCAGAAATTATAAGGAAAGGGACAGCTACAATTCAAAATGCCCTGTTGCCCCATTGTTCTAGATGAACATAACTAATCCCTCCCCCCCAAAAGGAGGGAGGCAGATTATAATGAGGAATCATCAATGGGAGTTAGTGCAAGTAGTGTTGCAGAAGCAGTAGTGCTTGCATCCTGCTATTTTGTTTTCATTATTTAGTCCTCTGTTCTTGGAATCCAAGGATTTGGAGTCTTGCCTCTGTTCCTGCATAGAGGTGAATGCTGGATAGTATGTGGGTGAGAAGGAGGAGAGAGACCAGTTTAAGTTGGTCCTTTCTTTTCCTCAATCATTTTAATAGCTCCAAAAGATATTTCCAGATTCCCTCTTGCCTTCCCTCTCAATAGGAAAGTCTCTTCCAAGCTAGATGCTTGGTAGAAAAGTGAAATTGATGAAGCCAAGGCAACAGACATCAGCTACAGTAGTTCCCATTGGCTAAAATGGATAACACTAACCAGTAGTTACTTCAGCTTCTTTTCCAGTTTCATCAGCTTAATTGTTTTCTTTCAAGTGGAGGATATAGATGTGTATAGTACTTGATTATCTTTTCTTCCCTATGAATTTCTCTGCCTTTAAGAATTTTATTTCCCAAATTTCTTATTTCTCAGCCATTTCTGTACTCAGTACCTAACTATTTTTTAAACAAGTAAAGCAGATTAACTGAATTTTCTTCTGGTTAACAATCTATACTGTTCAGAAACCTCATATCAGATCATTCTCCAGTCTCACCAAAATGTCTCATTGTCAGTCTTTTGCAGTTGATATATTCCATTGTCAATTAATGATATTTCTGAATATAGTTTTTATTGTGTTCAAATCATATGAGTTGAACACATTCCAACCTAGCTGGTAACTTAAATCACACTGTTTGAGTTTAATTCTACACCATGATTCCATATTTGTTTTCCTTTCCTTCCCAGCTTTTCCAAGGATTGGAGATTTGCTGCTATGGGCCGTTCACTGACATGCTCCCAGGTAAGGGGATGGGTATTCCTGAAGTAAGTTGTGGGAATGAATCCAATTGTCTCTTTACTCCCCATTTTGGTTGTGTAAACAATTGAGTTCTGTCAAGAAATGATCCAACTTTTTGAGAAAAAGCTAACTAGCTTTAATAGCTTAATTTTCTTTGCTTACTCGGTGATATTTATCCTTTAATAAGGCAAGATTTATGTCTTGCTGCAGAGACATTTCTGAATCTTGAATTTTCAGCTAGATTAATGTACATATGTTTGCCCATTTCTGCATAATTCATTCTGTTCCTGATCATCATTAACAGAGATGATCATTCTGGCTGTGTAGATAGTTATATCCGTATTCTTTCTCAAATTGTGATGAGGTTTGAATGTCTGTCTCCTTATCTTTATTGACTGACTTGATGAATAGTTCTTAAAATGCAAGTTGCAAGGATTGTATGCTGTCCTGATTAAATGCTATCTCTTCATCTTTTTTCTTAAAACTAAATAACAGTATCAGGAAGAGGGAATGCTTAGAAAATTTGCAAATGGCAAAAATATAGGATAGCTAATATCTTGAAAGACTGAAATAAAATTCAATATATCATCTTAATAATATTATTTAGCAACAACCTTGGAAAGGGTGGTTACAGCCTATAAAGGATTTCCAACTGTTGCAACATGTCCCCACTATGATCATGTGATCTGGGTGCTTGACAATCTATTTGTACTTATTAACAGTTGCCAAGTGACCCAAAATCCTCTGCTGGCTTCCTCAGAAAAGCAATTGAAAGCTGGCAGGGAAAGTTGTCCACTCCTCTGAGGCACTTTGTGCTACTTACTTGGGGCTCTGTGCACTTAGGAATCCACAAGATTCTTAATGACCATAACTGGTAGTGTTGGGATAGCAATCATTGTGCAAAGCAGCCATTTAATGTCTTGCTTAACAATTGTTTTGTTGAAAAACTAAGAGTCTAATCCCAATTATGGTCATAAATTGAGGAACCTGTACAAGTTTGCATTTGGTGGTTAAATTTTGTGACCAGTGCTAAGTTCCATTTTTACAGGATTCAGAAATCTATATATATAAAAGCGAAATACCACTCATGCATCATCATGAAATCTCCAGAACCATAAAGCCTACAAACTTGAAATTTGGCACGTATGTTGCTCTTGGCTTCTAGGTGCTCGCTAAGAAAGGATTTTTCAAAATGACCATCATCTCATTAGTATTTCTTATATTATTATTGTTAACATGTTCTGATGCTAAGGAGTTAGACGTTCTACTCCCCCTCCCCACCTGAAAAGAACTCTGTTCCAACTGCCGCTTGGGTGTGGCCAGCGCATGATTCATCCGGCCTGTGGGCTGGAGTTTAGACATTCTACTCCCCACCTGAAAAGGAGAGAAGGGGATAAGATAGGAGAGGCCTCTGTGGGGAAAGCCTGAGGGAGAGAAGGGGATAGGAGAGGATCATTGGGGCCAGCCTGAGGGAGAGAAGAGGATAAGATAGGAGAAGCCTCTGTGGAGCAAGCCTGAGGAAGAGAAGGAGATAGGAGAGGATCAATGGGGCCAACCTGAAGGAGAGAAGGGGATAAGAGAGGAGAGGCCTCTGTGGGGCAAGCGTGAAGGAGAGAAGGGGATAGGAGAGGATCAACGGGGCCAGCCTGAGGAAGAGAAGCGGGAGAGGAGAGGAGAGGTTTCTGTGGCGCAAGCCTGAGGGAGAGAAGGGGAGAGGAGAGGAGGCGCTTCTGTGGGGTAAGTCTGAGGGAGAGAAGGGGAGAGGCCGATCGTAACTACTCATTAATTTTCAAGCTGTAAATGTCGATTTATCAAGCCCGATCACATAATTTCGTAGCGGAGCACGGCTATCCAGCTAGTATAGAATATGCAACTGAAGAACCCAAAACAGATTTGCTTGTAATGTCAGTAGTCATCAATTTGGGCTTAACATTTTATGGGGGGAATAAAATACTTTACCATTATATGTAATGCATTTTGTTTATCTTTTGGGAATTTCTCAGAACATCTGGAATGGATTGTAGAACTCTGTGGCGCCACCCTTGTGAAGCAACCTCACTTATTTACACATGCAACAGTAAGTCTGATAACTATATAGGCCAGTTTGTGAAAGAAAGATACAAACAATCAGCATTTCCCGCCTTCCCTTTATTCTTTCAAGATGTGGGCAAAATTAGCTGGTTCTGCTTAGATATAATTGCAATATGTCACCCGCTAAGAAGACTTGTTTACAGTACTCATTTCTTTTTAAGAGAATATTTGTTTGTGAATGAGTGATAACATATCAGTGTATGGCATCTTTTAAACTACAGTGTGTAACCTTTATTCTATCATGGCTTTCCCATGAGTATCATGTATCTCCTCTAACTTTTATTTTGTCACAGTGTAATTGTTTGCCTGTGAAATCTTTATTTCTTCTGTGACTCCCATCTGATTGTAGTATTACAGCAAAGCTGAAGAATAGTATGCCTTAACAGTACAAATTATATATAGGAAAGATGCATTGATCCTATATGCCACTTTCCTTTTCCTTTTTGTCTTTTATCCTGTAATCAATTAGGACTCCACTGCTGTGATAGTTGTTCAGCCTGATGCATGGACAGAAGAAAGCACCTGCCAAGGTGAGATGATAATGCTGCTTGTGTCTCGCCGATCATAAAGGCTTTACAAAATGTCTGACTGATGTCTTACTTGGTATAATAAAATACTGCAGCAGATAAACATGTGAGGGAATAAGAAGTATGGTTGGCTTTAATCATCAGACATGAGTCTCATTACCACCAACTTCTCTTTCCTAAGAAAGACATTACTGTTCTTCAACAGTAGCAGAGTTGGAAGGGACCTTGGAGGTCATCTAGTCCAACTGCCTGTTCTCGCAGGAGACCTATGCTATTTCTGATAAATGGCTGTCCAGTCTCTTCTTAAAAACCTCCAGTGAGGAATGGGGCACCCACAACTTCCAAAGGCAATTTGTTCTACTGGTTAATTGTTCTCATGTTAGGAATTTTTTTCATAGTTTTAGATTGCTTCTGTCCTTGGTTAGTTTCCATCCATTGTTTCTTGTCCTGCTTACAAGTGCTTTGGTAAATAAGTTGCCCCTCTTCCTTATGGCAACTCTTCAAGTATTGGAAGATTACTATCATATCACCCTTGTCCTTCTCTGCATTAGACTAGGTGTACCCAGTTCCTGCAATTGTTCTTCATATGTTTTAGCTTTTAGGCGCCTAATAATTTTGTTGCTCTTCTCTGAACTCTTTCCAAAATTTCAACGTATTTTTTGTATTGGGATGACAAGAACTGGATGCAATATTCGATGTGCGATCTTACCAAGACTTTATAAACCGGTACTAGTACTTCATGTAATCTTGATTCTATCTCTCTGTTAATGCAACCTAGGATTGCATTGGCTTTTTTGACTGCTGCCGCATACTGTTGGCTCATGTTGAGATGGTTGCCCCTAGGACTTTAAAATCCCTTTCTAGTGTTGAGCCAGGTTTCATCTAGTCTGTACTTGTACTTTTGATTTTTCTTGCTTAAGTATAAAACCTTGCTTTTCTCTATGTTACATTTCATTTTGTTGGATAGGACCCAATGAACTAGTTTATTGGATCTTGAGCCTATCTTTTAGGATATTGGCTATTCCTGCCAGCTTGGGTTCATCTGGAAATTTAATGAGTTCTTCTTCTATTCCATCATCTAAATTCTTTATGAAGATATTGAAAAGTACTGGGTCTAATACTGCTTACTTCCCTCCATGTAGATATACTGTAGTTCTAATAAGGACTACATGTGGAGTTCAGTTTTTTAGCCAGTTACAAATCCATCAGGTGATGATACAGTCTATTCCACATTTTTCTATTATACCAAGAAGATTGTGATCAACTTTTTCAAATGCCTTACTGAAATCCAAGTATACTATGCCCAGGGCATTTTGTTGGTCCACTAATTTAGTCACTTTGTCAACAAATGAAATAAGATTTGCTTGACATGATCTGTTTTTGACAAACCCATGTTGGCTACTAGTTATAGCTTTGCTTGATTTTAGTTGTTTGCAGATCTGCTGCTTGATTGTCTTTTCCAGGAACTTCTCAGGTCTTGATGTCAAGCTGATTGATCTATAGTTTTCTGGATCTGTTTTTTTTCCTTTCTTAAAGATGGAACCACATCTTTAAGAAAGTCTTCTTTTCCAGTCTTCTGTTAGTTCTCTGGTTCTTCAGGATATTTGAAACATATGATTTACTGTCTCTTACAGGGAGAAAGATACGGAGCAAGGAACTTTGAAATGCCTACCTCTACCCTGAACTGTTTAAATCAGGGGTGCTAAACTCAAGGCCCGGGGTGCTTAGATCTGGCCCACAGGACCACCCTGGAAACATCAAAGGACCGGCCCACAGTGCCTGTGCCAATGAAAATGGAGCTCAGGAGGGCTGCAGGCAGCCCTCCAAAGCTCTGTTTTCGCTTGCAGAGGGTTCCAGGCAGGGGTGAAATGCTCCTGGTTCGGACAGGATCGGGTGATCCGGTAGTGATTGTGGCAGGTGGTTCAGAGAACCGGTAGAGATGGCGGCGCAAGGCTCCGCCCACCGCCCGGGTGTCATTACTTCCTGCTTTTAAAAAGTAAAAAAAAAAGGCTCTGACGATCGTGCACCACAGCTGTGATTGTCAGAACTTTTTTTTTACCTTTTAAAAGCATTTTTAACAACCTATTCGCCTGAATAGGTTGTAAAAAAATGCTTTGAAAAGTAAAAAAAAAGGCTTTGACAATCGCGCGCCACAGCTGTGATCATCAGAGCCTTTTTTTTTACTTTTCAAAGCATTTTTTAACAACCTATTCGCCTGTAAAAAAATGCTTTAAAAAAGTTTTTTTTAAAGTTGGCCACACCCACCCAGTCACATTACCCCCCACCACCACCAAGCCAGGCACAGAGAACCGGTAGTAACAAATTTTACATTTCACCACTGGTTCCAGGAAGCCGTTGCAGCCAAAAACAGACTTCGGGGGCCCGTTTTCATTGGCCTCTGCCACAGGCACTCCCGACAAGAGTGACGTTGAGCTGACCATGTCCATGTAATCAAGTTTGAGACCCCTGGTTTAGGAGTTTCTCCAAACAGTAATACAAATGAGAGTTCTTTCAGTTTTCTATATCTGCTTTTGGAAAATCAGAGAATGCAATTGAGTTGCATGAATAAAAAGCTTCTCTCTTATCTATACACATTATCTTGAAAAGAATGGTTACAACAACAATGGAAAACCTTACGATTTTCCATGCTGAGGTTAAGGCATTTGAAATGTTGTTCATCAAAGCGGCTTAAAGAAAGAACTCTGAAGAAGAAGATACAGGCATCAAATGTCTCACTGCTTGTCTGGTATTTTGCAGAGCTCCCGCTGCAATGCAGCATTGCTGTAGTTACACGTGAGTGGGTGCTGGACAGTGTTGCCTGCTATCAATGCCAGCCGTTCAATGACTACATCTTTCTACAGGTATGATGGAATTAGTTCTTAGAATTATACCTGAATGTTTTTGGAATAATTTTCTTTACAAAGAATGTGACATTATAAATATTTCAGTTGGCTTAAAATGCCCTGCCTTTCACCAAAGGTAGAATTAGATTGATAAATGTCCATTTGCAACACAATTATTGCAGTGGATCACAAAATAATGTGTTCTTTATGTTGATATAGATTATTTTATAATCCATTGTTGCCTTGTTTGCAAAGATTTTTCTTTCTTTCTTCTTAATGTCTTAAAAATGTAATCATTTGCTAGAGTTAGATAGAACAAAGAGCTTCAATTAGCTGGATAGCAGCAGTTTGCCTGCTTGCTTCATGGGAGAGTGTTCAAAGAGGCAGTTATGCTGGATCATTGGCAGAGCATATTAACTAGAACCGACCAGATTGGGGATGGCCCAAGAGACCACTGCAAAGGATCATAGGGTAACAAAGAGGCATGTGTGGAATCAAATGTTTGTGTTTGATAATGTAATCTATTAGAAATTCAATATCTGCCTAGCAAGTTAAAAGCAAACTTGACTTAATCAGTACTACAATCATTGTAGTGAGTGTGGTTGGCCTTAAAATTGTACAGATATTTTTATATAATAAAGAAACTGAAATGGGAACAATCTCAGCAGCAGACAGCAGATGGTATATGCTAAAAGGGGAGACAGTCATTATCCTCTTTCATTCATCTGCCCATTTCAGAAAATTAAGTGGATAGGTGCAGAGGAGGCAGATAATATTATTATCTTCAGCAAGGACTGGTTTCTCATTTCTTCCAATAGTAAAATTGGGCTATCTCACAAACATATTTTACTCCCTGTGCATGTGTGCACATGTTTAAATTTTATGTTCATTTCTTGAACACAAATATGACTTTCTGTTTATTTAAGGTTGGGGGGGTGGGGAGAGACAGATTGAAATTTTCTCTGGATGTGGCAAATTTTCTGTTAATTGATATAATTTGTTTTCTGCAAGCAAAGATGCTTATCTGAGTCCCTGAATCTAAGCCCAAGGAGCCACTGGTGCTTTGTACATGTTTTGTTTGGCTATGCTTTTATTTTATTAGTTATTCTAATAGGATATTTCCATTGATTAAGAAAGTCAGAATATTTTATTATATATAGGTAGTTCTCAACTTATGACTGTAATGGAGCCTGCCCATTATGATCACAGGTTGTAAGGATTGTTAAATGAGCTGCCCACATGATCACTCGCTTAGCGATCTCAATCTTGCTCTCAAAAGTTGCATTTGTTAAACAGAGCACTGGGTTCCCCAGGGGCGGGATAAGTCCTGGGAGGTCTGGTGCAGGCCCATACCCACCCTGCAGGACTTTCCCAGGTCACATGTGGCCTTCCAGGGCCTCCCTCTGCTTCCTGTGGCATCCTATGCTCTGTTTCCCAACCTGCTGGATTCCCACAGGGCTTGGGCCTACTTTCCACCCCACTGGGATACACACCCTCCTCCCCACCTGGCATGATGGCTTGGCGACTTCCTTTTTTTTTGGTAAATCTCCTTTGAAAGATGCAGCTGTTCAGTTGTGTAGCTTTTCTACACGAAGGCCTTGTGGTACTGTCCCAGAACTATATCTCTCCAGTGATTGCATTTGGGAAGGAAAACAGGCCAATCTGCCCCTGAGCCTTCCTATTCAATACAAATACCATGTACTGCTGCTCAGAAGTGGGTGCCATTTCAGAGCAGTCACAATTCCCCAATGGTACCAATTTCGGCAATGGTGCCTCTATGTAGAAGGTCATGTGATGGAATGGCTACTTCCCAAAGGGGATTTACGGAAAAGGTAAACGATGGGAGTAGGAAAGAGGTGTGGGGCCAGGTGACGTGGGAAGCAGGCCTAAGGTTTATGGAATCCCAGCAGAGTGGGAAATTGGAGAAGATAGACATGGAGGCACTGCAAAATCCCTGGAGTCTGTCATAAAGAGCAGGCAGATTGCCAAGTGCCTGAATTTTGTTCACGTGACTGGGGGGGCAATGTAGTAGCCATAAGTTCCTTTGTTAATTTCAATTCAATACAGTCACTGAATTAATGCTCATAAGTCAAGGACTACCTCTATATAAGGAATATATATATATAATGCTACAATATTTAAAGACCGGTGCTAATAAGACTTTTTTTACTACAAATTATCAAAGATTAATTTAACAACAGATTTTTAAAATAATTCAGTATTTAATGCAAATGCTTATAACAATAAGTAATATGCATTGTCTTGCTTTGAGGAAGTAAGTACTGTAAGCAACATGGGAGGCAGAGTATGACAATGTGAATTAGAGTCAGTGAAAAGGACAGTAAAGTATGTAGGCACATGCAGCCAGCTAATAAAGGTCTGACCTTCAGGGGAAGCAAGAGGGTCAGTGCTGCTCATCAGAGTAATGATTGCCAAGAGTCCTAACTCCAAATGATTGATCTTTTACCCTTTTATCTCCGTCTGTTCACAGGAACAATCTTCCATGTCTGACTAATAAAGCTCTTGTAGCCCGAATGGGATTACATCTTTCAATGGGTTTGTCACCTACACTAATAAACGAGTTTTGGGAACTGGAGAAGTATCTAGCCTGATGAATTGTGGTGTCTTCCATGCGGTTTCAAGTCCAGGAGCAATCTCTAATTTATTCCTTTTTTTAAAAAAATTATCTATTGCTTGTCACGTCATGTGCTTCCAAGTGATGTACAAAATCAGCATAGCTTTTGTACAATTCAGATATAGTTAAAAAGCAATAGTTGAAATAATATGTAGCCCACATTAAAGACTAGCAATAAGAGGCAGAAGACTACCACCCCAAAACATTATCAAATAAAAAGTTTTCTCAATCACATTTGTGTGTGCATATTTTATATGTAGTTGTATATTTTTCTCAGAGGACTGATTGCTTTGCAGTTTCTGTTTCCATAGTACCAAGCTGAAACTCAGGGTCTAGTTTTTGCTTCTCGTTGAGATGCAGGTGGTGTTGACTGAACGTGCTCTTCCATGTCTTAGTCGCTGCTCAGGAAGAGATTAAAACTATCTTGAGGCAAAGATATTAATACAACACACAAGGAGTGCCTCTTACAAGTTACTGCATGTGAAAGCATAGTTTAAAACAATGTTGTTTTAAAATTATCATGCTTTTGTGTATACAAGTTCTAAATTAACTAATCAGCTGAACTAAAGTTTTCTGGAAGTAAGTTCAGCAGAATAAATTAGCCAGGTAAAGCCTTAACAAACCTAGGATTCAAAAAAATTGAGTGTATTGTATGTATGTGAAGTTTGAGCACCTGATTGAGAATTTGTAAGACTAGCACCATGAAAAATCTTGAGGTTTTAAATTTCTTAAAATGTTTCATTCAGTTCACTTTTCTCCACAGGCTTCCTCAGTTTAAATCCCTATATTTAAATGCCCTTAATAGCTCTTATTCATTTTACTGACATTTTCTAGACTATTTTGTAATACATATTGCAAGTACAATTATTCATAAAGTCTTTTATTAAGGCAGAAAGAAACGATAAAGTGGCCTTTTTAAAAATGTAAAATAGCACTTTCATTGATGAATTTCTCTACTTGTTCTAGTGGCATGAGAACTAGATGCATCACTGCATGTTACATGCCTTCATAATGAGTAACTGGCTAATGAATGTTCACTAGCCAGCAGCATAATCCATAGCCTGATTATATCAAAAGTGCCCCATCTATTACCAGGAGTTTATGCAACATTTTTAAACTGTCAATTTAACTTCGCCTGTTGACTGTCAGGTTTCTTATCTTCAACATTCACCTGGACTTCTGTTATCTGTCTTCCGGAAGATTATAGCTATCTTTCAAAACATTGCCTAGATAATAAGAGGAAATTGGCAACATGCTCCCATAGGCACTGCTTTGAATTATTTTTCCATTTGGAAGGTGAACATAGAGGCATAGCTATTGGAAAAGTAGCTGCAGTCAAGATGATGAAGGAGAATAAAACATTCTTGCATGACATTTAAACAGGATTGGATTGAATCAAATTGAATTATTTGGCCAAATGTGATTAGACAGAGAAGGAATTTGGTTTTGGTGCAGAAGTTCTCAGTATATATGCACAGCAACAGATTAATAATCATAATACCAATAAGAGGGGGTAATAAAGATAGGGATAATAATAATTAATAGTAATAAATAGTAACTTGTAATTTAGGACTTTTCTACCATGTAGTCATTGGTTTTTACCAGCTTGAGCAGGGGGTTGGACTAGAAGATCTTCAAGGCCCCTTCCTACTGCTATTCTGTTCTGAAAAATTCAACTTTTTCTCTTGCTCTTTAAAATAAGAATTTCTCCCTAGTTTCCTGTCCCTGTTCTCGGATGCAGGAATTTCCAGCACAGATCCACTTTTCTACTATGCATTTGGTAAGTTCAGTCTTGGGTTTTTTTTTTTTCCTTTTACCATAAGCCATAAGCAAAGGAATAACCAATAATCATACAAAGTAGAGAAAGTATTTTTTGTTCTATGGGGTCTGTCAAAACCTCTGAATTCTGAGATATATTCCATTTTACCCATAACTCATGAGATAACTTGACAGCTGTTATTTACATCCTTTTCTCTATTATATAGCTTTTTTCCCCCCTGTCCTAATATTTCATAATTTCTAATCCTCTGCAAAAGAAAAGAAAAACACTTGCAGGATCCAACAAGAAGTTCCTCAAGGAACTTCTCTCTCACCAGAATATGACATCAGACACATTCTGGTAGAGAGAGAAGTTCCCTGATGATGGGCTCCAGCATGAGTCCGAAAGCTCGGAAGACTAAACTACTGGTCCAGCAACTGACTGAGATTGGATCCCACATTATCCTGGGACACACATATTTGCTTTCATTCATGGAAAAAAGCCTCTCTTTCAGTCAAATAATCCACGAGCATGGGGGTGGGGGTCGTGCGCGCATGCGCAGGTGGCGCACATTGCATTATGGGTGCTGGCATGCATGTGCTATTGCGCGCGCACACACTTGGCACGCAACAACAAAAAGGTTAGCTATCACTGAACTAGAGTTTAGTCTTCCATTCCAGAATAATCTGCTGGAACCATAAAAGATCCATAGCGGAAGAGTTCTTTCTTTTAACATCAGTTTAAATTATTTCCAATCAAAATAATTATCGTTGTGCAATATTTTTTAAATAGAACAGTAATAATATGAAACTACACTTGTGCAAATCAAGTTTTAGTCTATTGTCGTCATGCATCAATTATACAGAGTAGAAAATAATGTAGGAGTGTCTAAGCCAATAGTTACTTTTATTTCAAATACTTTTAAGTATGATCCCAGAATGCTAGAAATAGCCAAAACACACAGAAATTGTTGTAAATCATATAGTTATTTAAGTGATATGGACAGTGTAGGAATAAATAAATAATAAGTAAATTGAATGATAAACTCATGTTGTGTATTTGAACTACCCCAGTTCCTAAATCCTGCAAGACAATTTATACAATAACATCCATCTCAACTCTTTCTTGAAGAACAAGAGTCATTTGAATATGTATAGGTAGAACCAATAGCTTCATTAAGCCAAAGCCAGCCTAATGGTTTAGAAGTCATCTTAAGAAATTGCAAATATTCTTAAGAGTTAATGCAAGAAGTTACTCTTGATTAGATTAAATTGGGTGGAGTATTGGAAATCAATTTACTTTACAGCAGGGATGTCAAACTCACGTCAAATCATCACGTGACATATCAGGACATTTTCCCCTTTGCTAAACCAGGGGTGGGCGTAGCTGGCACATGACGCATCCGGCCCATGGGCTGTGAGTTTGACACCCCTGCCTTAAAGGCTAGACTCGTAGAATATTGAAATACAGGATTGCTAATCACTTATAGTAAGGCTTTTTAAATAGAGAGTACATTCTATAAAATTGAAGCCACATTAATAATAATATATTGATCTATTGATGTCAAAAATTTCTTGAGGCTTAATTTACAATCTTTTGTCTTGCTAATTTTAATGATTCTTAAAACTGGATTCAGGCTGTAGTGCTACAGATAGTGTTAGAAAACAGTTTTAGGTTGGGGTTGGCCAGGGTTTTGAAATCACCTGCTTGAAAATTCAGGGGGGGGAGTATATTATTTAAGAATGGTACATTTGGTCTTTAGCAGTACCATGATTCTTGTTATTAATATTTTTCTAGTACTAACAATTAGAATTATTCTACTATTTTTAAACTGGCTTTGTTTATGGTTTTGTTGTTTGAATTTGATTTTTATTTGCTTTGTTGATTTTTAGGGAAATGTTTTTGTAGAAATAATAAATAACATTAAAATACTACCTCTTTTGTGCACTGACTAAAATATTACACAGTAGCTTATTTCATCTGAAAAATTAAGCAAAGGAATGCAAGGACAGTTACTACTGAGTATCTGAATTATCTTACTAGCAGAGATTATCCTATAGTAGAACCTAATTTTCAGGTTAACTTCTTTGAAAATATTGTACATTTTATTTGGATGGGTATAGATGAGTCCAGAGGATCAACAAACATCTGATTGTTCAGTGATGTGAACAAATAATGGGGAAAATCTACCTGGTCAGTTCTAGCAATAAGAATGGAGCAGAAGATAAAAACCTGTGGACCAATATAGAACGGTTATTCCTGGAGCTCCTGAAATTAGTCACAAACTACTAAAAATGATGTAGAATTTGCTGTGCAGATTTTTTTACAAAATATATTGTGAGATATATGAAAAATACAATTCTGTTTCAGATATATTTTTTTCTGATAAGGGATTATAAATATGTAGAAATATAATTTTTTTCTTAGATATTGAGAAACATCTATGTTTCTTATTTATTTTGTACTACAATACATACATATGCAATTTTGATTAAGTCTTGTTTGGACACAGTTACCACCATTATATAGCTCGTATAAAATTAATATTGGCACCAATTAATTGAATAGCTGCATCCCGCTTATGTGTGACAACTAGTGAAGCAATCCTATTTTGGCAGCATATGTGAGGAATGGAGTGAGCTAAAGTGCCCAAAAGGTTACAGGTATATCGAGATTCTATTCAGTACAGGTGGAACAAGATTAGGCAAGTACTTAGGAAGGTGTGGTACTTTTGAATAGCTCAACTTCATAGCTTTATTGACATCATTATATATTTAGCCCTGTTCTGCTACTTTGTTGTCCCAAATAAAAGTTTGTTCTTATAGTGAAACTTGCTTTGCATGTTTGAAAGTTCTTTAGATTCAATTTACAAAGAACTCTTGATCATGCAGTTTCCTGTAAAACTTAAACACAGGTTCCTCATAAATTAGCCGGTTACATAACACACCAACAATTGTATTTATTTTTTCTTGGTATGATAAATGGCAATCAGAACTATTTTAACTACATTTTCATATTGAAGTGGTTCGGGAATAACGAGAGGCACAACCAAGCAAGTGACAACAGCTCTTTAATTTACAGTGAGACTTCAGCAAAACTCAGAGGCTGCAGTCCTCCTTATATACAATCCTGGAGGGACTGTCAGCCAATCAGAAACGTAGGCAGGTTTGAAACTCCCGCTCAAAAGTATCAATACATAACACCCCTCCCTTCCCAGAAGGCACTGTCATTCAAAAATTTACATAAGTACACACAAAATCTCGCAGGTGCCCAGGGCGAGTTCTCGTCCTAGTTGACCTGCGCAGTTCAGTGTTTGGTGGGGCGTCGAGCTGGTCGGAGGGACTTTCTGTCTCTCCCGGCTCCGCCAATGGAACCTCCTGGATTTTGTCCGGGGCGTGGTTATCCCCGGTTGGGAGTGGCGACTCGCTGGGGCAGCGCTGGAACCAGGGCTTGTCAGCTAAGTATTCTCGCGA